GATAAGTCAGCGCCCAGATCATGAGGGGCCTGTAAAAATTTAGACTTTATGCCATTTCATTTGTTTGTTTGTTTTTAGAGATAAGATCTTGCTCTGTTGCCCAGGTTGGAGTGCAGTGACACAATCATAGCTCACTGCAGCCTTGAACTCTTGGGCTCGAACAATCCTCCTGCCTCAGCCTCCTGAGTAGATAGGATTACAGGTGCACACCACCACACCTGGCTAATTTTAATTTTTGTAGAGTCAAGGTCTTGCTGTGTTGCCCAGGCTGGTCTCAAACACCTGGGCTCAAGCAATTATCTTGCCTCAGCCTCCTAAAGTGTTGGGAGCCACCATACTAGCACTTTTCAGAGGGAAGAGTGTATGGGATAAAGAAGTTTCTTCCTACTGTCTTAGAGAAATATAGTATCTACCAAGTTTTCTCTGCTTTCCCCTTTGACTTTTTTTCCAATAACCTCTCTTACTATCCTCCTGTCTTTTTTCCACAAATACATATCCACCATCACATGCCAGACCCTAGGGGATCCAGTGGTGGGTAAAGCTCACCCTATTTTCAGAGCAGAGGCAAAGTTAATTGGAATTGGAAATGTGTAAAAGCTTTCCTTTGTTCAGCGAGTCTTTCGTTATTTAAAATAGAGAGAAGCTTTGTGGGTTTTCTCAAATGCTCTGGAAAAAACCGAAAGAGGATTGAGAGCAATTTTAAAAACAGAGGGAACACAGTTTTCCAAATACATTGCAAGGGAAAAGAGACATGAGAGAGAAACCTATGGATTAAAAGAGACTTTCTGAGATATATCAACAGATTTCAATATCTGGATCTTACTTGGATCCTGATTCAAACAACCAAAGTGTAAAAAAGTAAAACTTATGATATTTATGACACAACTGAATATTTGAAAGCTGATTAGATATTTTATGATATTAGGGATTGTTAATGATGTTAAATTTGATAATGGTATTGTAATTATATATTTTTAAGTTCTCTTAAAGATACAGAGATATTCATGGATAAAATGTTATGCTATCTGGGATTTCCATCAAAAGAATATGTTGGGGAGAAGCTGGTAGGGGTATACATGAAATGAGATAAGGATTGCATTGAGAGCAGAAACTGGGCGAAGGGCACATGGGAATTTATTATCCTAATCCCCATATCTTTGTCTGTGTTTGAAAATTTCCATAATAAATTTTTTTTTCAGAAGAGGGAAGGGTCATATTTATGATATTTTTTTACTTCTACTTTGGTGAAAAATAGTGAAATAGGGAGGGGAAATGATGAGAGGAAGGGGCTGGAACTTGGAAGTATGATTTGGGAGTGAACAGTCTCCAGACTAGAGGGGTAGGAAGGGAAATGCAGGGCAAAGGCCATCCTGGGAGTATGAGAATGGAGGGAAGAATGGAAAAGAGAAGTAGGCCCACTGCTTTTCCTACCTCTCTTGGCCTTTTCTTCACTTACTCATTCCTTACCCCTTATCTTTGTAGATGAAAAATCATCATGATTTGGCACTTTGGGAGGCCAAAGAGGGAGGATCCCTTGAACTCAGGAGTTTGAGACCAGTCTGCGAACACAGAACCCCATCTCTACAAAAAACTTAAAAATTAGCCAGGCATGGTGGCACATGCCTGTAGTCCCAGCTACTCAGGAGGTTGATGTTGTGGGGGGGTATTGCTTAAACTCAGGAAGATGAGGCTGCAATAAGCCATGACAATGCCACTGCACTACAGCCTGGGGGGCAGAGACCTTGTCACCACCCTCCCCCCAAAAAAATCACCAACTTATCAACAAAGATTCTCAAGCACCAAGTCATGAAATTCTATTTCCATTTCACTTGGCAAGTCCTGGGAATCTGCATTTTCAACACGTGCTTTAGGAGATTTAGATATCTAGACTTCCCTTTGAGCCTCAGTACCTAGCCCCTGTGAGAGGCGTGGTTTTTCTGTCATTAACCTTCACTCCGTCAGACCAGGGACCCAACACTGCCTTTCAAAGCCTTTGTGACAGCAGTCCACTGTTTCAAGGCAGGAAAAAATAAAGAAGATGAGAGATTATGCAAAGCCAACTGTTTACTGGTTTCCTTTAATGTGTGTATGTAAACATGCAAATGCTGAGGGTCACTTGAGTTGGGAAAAGAAATTCATCAGCCAGCTATGGCTTGAAAGACATCCCCTTTAAGACCTTCTGACCTTGTGATGATGTTCTCTGATGTTATATTCACTGAACAGCCTTCTGATTTGTAATGGGATTCCACTACAATTTTTTTTAAGGAGGTTAAAAAAAAAAAAACAGCAGTTGCCCTAAGTAACACAGTCCTCCTGGTAGTTCTGCCTTTTATCATCAATTTAATATATTGATTTTTTGCTTTCCAAGTCTCCCGAAAGGCTGTTATTCAGAAGAATTAGGTCACCAAATTTGATCATCCATCAGCGAACTAATAAACTTTAGGGTTGGGTAAAGTAATGAATCAAACTGCAACTGAGCCAGAACTACTAGGAGGACAGTAACTCTATGGCTAAGTCATTGTCACATTAGGGGTTACTAGACACTTGCTTATCCACACATTCTTGGCCACATGCCTCCAAATAGGGAAAGATTATAAATTATGACCAAGATATCAGGCCACAGCCTTACTTACCTGGAGCCCAACGCCTGCTCAAGCATAACTAGGTTTTGACATGGTGAGGTCAGCCAGGTTGGGGAAAGAAGTTTTGAAGCAAATAGGGCAGTGTGCACGGCCCTAATGCTGGCAGAGATATTCCCAGGGACAGGAAAAAACAACAAGCAATTGGACCCACACTCCCCCACAGAACAAGCTGTGAGAAGTCAGATAGACATGTCTGTTCAGCTCAAAGTATCCAACTTCCCCGTCCCATCCTCTAATTTCACCTCATCCCACCAGCTAAAAGAAAAAGGCAGGCCGGGCGCGGTGGCTCCAGCCTGTAATCCCAGCACTTTGGGAGGCCGAGGCGGGTGGATCACGAGGTCAAGAGACCGAGACCATCCTGGTCAACATGGTGAAACCCCGTCTCTACTAAAAATACAAAAAAGTAGTTGGGCATGGTGGTGCGTGCCTGTAATCCCAGCTACTCAGGAGGCTGAGGCAGGAGAATTGCCTGAACCCAGGAGGCGAAGGTTGCGGTGAGCCGAGATCGCGCCATTGCACTCCAGCCTGGGTAACAAGAGCGAAACTCCGTCTCAAAAAAAAAAGAAAAGAAAAAAAAGAAAAAGGCAAATGCCTGCAGCCTTCTAGAGGCCTTTCTGTACCCACTTTGTAACCTGTGTGGTTTCACATTGTTCTTTGAACCGTAACTACGCAGGGGCCTGCTGGCATCCATCCAAGCCCATCTCTAGTTGGCATTCCCTGGCTCCCTACATGGTTAGAAAAATAGTCACCTCTAGCCGGGCGCGGTGGCTCAAGCCTGTAATCCCAGCACTTTGGGAGGCCGAGGCGGGTGGATCACGAGGTCAAGAGATCGAGACCATCCTGGTCAACATGGTGAAACCCCGTCTCTACTAAAAATACAAAAAATTAGCTGGGCATGGTGGCGCGTGCCTGTAATCCCAGCTACTCAGGAGGCTGAGGCAGGAGAATTGCCTGAACCCAGGAGGCGGAGGTTGCGGTGAGCCGAGATCACACCATTGCACTCCAGCCTGGGTAACAAGAGTGAAACTCCGTCTCAAAAAAAAAAAAAAAAAAAAAGAAAGAAAAATAGTCACCTCTTGCCCTCTTAAGGACCTCACTGAGGCACAGGCTACAATGGAGACAGCAGGTGGCCAGAGTGGCTGGCAAGAACCCATGTTGCCTTACAGCGAAATCTGAGCACACACGCCTTGTCCAAGGCCCTCTACTTCTTCAAAGAGGGGATGGAGGGAAAAAGTGACCATTTGGGCTGAGGAGACCAAGAAACTTGACGTGAATTGGGCTCAGGTCAGCTAAGAAAAATACACAAAGCACACCTCAGCCAGGAATTACAGTTTCGCGGTCTTTTTTCCCCCCGGAGAGTCTCGTGCCTCAGCTTCCCGAGTAGCTGGGATTACAGGCGCCCGCCATCATGCCCGACTAAGTTTTGCATTTTAGCAGTGAGCGGGGTTTCAGCACGTTGCCCAGGTCGGCCTCAAACTCCTGACCTGAAGGAATCCTCCCGCCTTGGCCTCCCAGAGTGCTGGAATTACAGGCATGGGCCACCGCGCCGGCCCGGAATTGTCGTTTAAAAAGAGGAGGAAGAGGATGCTGAAAACGGGTTCAGAGGGTATGAGAGAGGGGGCTGAAGAGTGACAGGCAGACAGCAGGAAGGGCTGGGCCGGTGCACCGACGGGGCCCAGGGGGGAGAGGGGACAAAAGCATGAAGGGGTTACAGAGCGGGCCCACGGGTCAGCGGGGAAGAGCCCGAGAATGCGGAGAGACAGGGCGGGGGGCCCAGAACCAGCCGAGACCCAGCGAAGTTGGGGACTGGTGGAAAGAGAGGCGTGGCCGCGGATTGGCCACCGCGAAGAGAGGCCGCGCCCCCTAGCGTCCCTCCGGGTCGAGCCAGAACCCGGCCTGTGCGACCCTGAGGCGCGCCAAGGACCGCCCCGCCCAGCGCAGAGGGCCGGCGCCGGGCTCCCTTCTGACGTGCGGCCCTGTAGTTCCGGCTGTTGGCGCACGGGCGGAAAGTTTATGCTGACGGACTGTGTCCGGCGATGGGCACGGGGTGAGTGGGGAGGCCGAGGGCCCGGGGCTGTTGTTCGTCGCCTGTTGGGGTTACAGGTGAAGGGGTTGGGGGGAAGAACAACCCAGGGCCAGCGCCTGGCCTTCCCGCCACCTTGGAGGCCGCCCCGCGCCGACTCCGAGGCACCAGTTCCTCGGCGCTGCTTCCGGCCTCCCCTCGCTCTGAGGCTCGGGGTCGCTAGCTCCACGTAAACTGCACCGTTTCGCCTTCTGCTAAGTCCCCCTCCGCCCCCTCTTTCCTTGAAAGACTTGCAGATCTCATCTATTTTCTTGACTGACTTTTAAGGTAAAAAATACATCTCCCAGTTGAGATTTCCAGTCTGGACTTGGAGCGATGACGTTGTTTCTGAGGACTGGGGAGGGACTCAGCGGGGCTGACAGGAAAACCAAGGAGTAGGTGGGGCCCTGAGCAATTCAGGCGGAATCCTGCTTTGAGAGCGAGACTGCCGAGAATCGGTTCTTTATCAATGACCTAATTATCGCCTTCAGCGAAGAGTTATGAACGTCTAGCTGATGGACACTTGGCATTCAGGCCAAATAGGTGACTAGGGCCTGTTTCTCAGACTGATCTGGAGCAAGGAGAGCCCTGCTCGTTCACACAGTACACATGGTAAGGGGTTGGGTGGGGGAGACTTGGGGGGTGGTCAGAATCTACCCAAGTGAAGAATTTTGTGTTCTCACAAAATCGCTAGACTGTGGTGGGCAGGGATTTTTATTTGTACTTTTTTTTTTTTTTTTTTGAGGCAGAGTCTCGCACTGTCACCTAGGCTGGAGTGTAGTGGTACAATCTCAGCTCACTGCAACATCCGCCTCCCAGGTTCAAGCAGTTCTGTCGCAGCCTCCCAAGTAGCTGGAACTACAGGCGCATGCCACCACCTCTGGCTAATTTTTGTATTTTTCGTAGAGACGGGGTTTCACCATACTGGTCAGGCTGGTCTCGAACTCTTAACTTCAGGTGATCCGCCCACCTTGGCCTCCCAAAGTGCTGGGAATACAGGCATGAGCCACCGTGCCCAGCCTTTTTTTTTTTTTTTTTTAACCAAGCCTAGATTGCTTGAGTGAACCATCCAGGAACTTCGAGTTCCCTCTTTTACTCCAACCTGAGTACTAAACTGATTTCCTATGACTTTGTAACTGTTAAGGAAGTGCATTTGGGAGTAGACACAAAATGCATCAGTTGGGAGAAAGAGCCAGCTCCAGAGGTGTCTTCAGAGAAGGCAAGACTGCCGGCTGTCATCTCTGTCAGCAGCAGATTTCACGACTGAAAGTGCTTTTTCTTATTTGTCCTATGTAAACTATTTCCTCCCATTCTCCTAAGAGGCGAGGGCAGTGCTCCTCATGATCCTCATTGTAAAAAGGCCTCCATGCATGAATGGGACTACCACAGGAGCTGGGCAGAGGTGAGCGAGTCGCCCCTATTGCTGCTTGAATGAGAAGAGGAAATGTGTTTCTGGTGTCCAGAGTTAACATTTAAAATGTATTTTGCTAAATAATATATGGTATATCTAGTGATTTAGGAGTAGTTCATTAATTATTATCAAATTGTTAGGCACCTACTATGTGCCAGTTACTGTGGTAACTTTTGAGGAGATATCATGGGCAAAATCTGGCATGATTCCTGCCCTTAGAGAGCTTTTATGTCATGGTCTAATGTAGAGTAGTTGAACCAATATTGCGCAGGACGTTACTTTTTTTTTTTAAATCAGGCCTGTACTGCTTGAGTGAACCATCCTTTAGGAACTTTCAGTTTCTTCTTTTACTCCTATGCTTACAACCTGAGTTGTAAACATTATTTCCATGAACCAGTGTATTCTGAGTTCAAAACAGCCTACTTACAAATGGAATTTTAGAATATGACACATGTGCAGTTGGGCACTATCCTTAAACAAGCAGTCTGGCTACTATTAAATGTTTTGAAGTGAATCCCAAAAAAGAAAATGTGAACATTAAATTTCTAACCCCTCTATATCCACCTAATCTTCTCCAATTTTTTTTTTTTTTTTTTTTTTTTAAAGAATGTGTTTCACCATGTTGGTCAGGCTGGTCTTGAACTCCCAACCTCAGGTGATCCGCCTGCCTTGGCCTCCAAAGTGCTTGGATTACAGGTGTGAGCTACCACGCCCGGCCAATCTTCTCCAATTGTATATATGCGTTATGATTTTTATGAAGTTGTAAGCAGTGTACATACAGTTCTGGGGCCTGCTTTTCTCAGTTACTAATGCTTTCTATAAGTATTTCTGATATCTGTAGTACATATGTCATTTATTTATAGCTGTTGATATTTCATGTCAGTAGACTACAGTTTGCTTTATAATAGAATAGCAGCAAGCTATATCTCCATGAGCAGATCTGTGTATCTGTACACTTTTTTCTTTATTTTTGAGCACCAAAATGTTTTCTTTATACTAATTCTCAATCCATAATTTTGAATAACTCCATTTCTACATTTTGACTTTTCTATACAATTTCATGAGATAATTGCAGCTTTATATATATTCTTTTTTTTTTTTTTTATAGACAGAGTCTTGCTCTGTTACACAGGCTGGAGTGCAGTGGCACAATCTCGGCTCACTAAAACTTCCGCCTCCTGTGTTCAAGTGATTTTAACGCCTCAGCCTCCCAAGTAGCTAGGACTACAGGTGCCTGCTACCACACCTGGCTAATTTTTGTGTTTTTAGTTGAGATGGGGTTTCCCCATGTTGGCCAGGCTGGTCTTGACCTCAAGTGATCTGCCCACCTTGGCCTCCCAAAGTGCTGGTATTACTGGTGTGAACCACTGTGCCTGGCCTTACATATTTTTAAATTTTGTTCTTTTCCTTCACAGTTGAAGCACCATTGGCCAGTTTATGTACAATGAATACTACTGTGGCTAATAGTTTGTTACTTTTGTTACGGTTAATGATTTCCAATTTGTCTAATTTGGTTTATGACTTTACTAGCCCTTTCATTTTTATATTTAGCATTCATTATACTAAAACAAGAGCACCAAGCAACAAAATAATTAAACACATGCTCTAATACTGCAAAAAGATTGTGACGGTGCCAAAAAACAATGGTTGATTGTCAAATAGCACCACCATATGACAACTAGAAATGTTCTTCAGTAAGTTAAGTGTTAGAGAGGTGACGCAGGAATTTATTAAGTTGCATAAAAGTCAAATGCCTGAAAGTCAGGGGCTACCTGAATATATCGGGGTTTTTTTTTTGTTTTTTTCCAGTAGATTTATTTAGATGATCCTTGATTTATGGTCATTTAATGGGTGATTCTAAGAGTGGTCCTTACAATGAACTAAGCTGCCCACTTCCCTCTCACTGAGTTCTCTATATGTTTTTTCTCACCTCAACCTAAATGGTGTTTGCGTTTGCTAATTTCTGGGAAATTAGTTAAAGTTATGCTGAAAAATGTCTTTTCTCTCCATGACATGTAAGACCTTATTTATTTTCTACAGCGTTTCTCTGTTTATAGCTGTTTGTTTGCATTCTGATTGGGAACACTGGAATCATTTTCATCATGCCGACAGTGGTGGTAATGGATGTATCACTTTCCATGACCCGACCTGTGTCTATTGAGGGGTCCGAGGAATACCAGCGTAAGCACCTAGCAGCCCATGGTTTGACGATGCTGTTTGAACACATGGCCACAAATTACAAGCTTGAATTTACAGCACTTGTGGTTTTTTCATCACTTTGGGAGTTGATGGTCCCCTTCACGAGAGATTATAATACCCTACAGGTACAAAAAGTAGTAAATTATTATATGTACAGGGCCTAAATTTATTGGGAGGAACAGTATCATAATGCACTGAACATTTAGAACTTTGGCATTATTTAATAATAAGTTTATGAGTACTTAATATGTGTAGCTAAACCACAAGGGTTCACAAACAGTAGGTCTTATGCCTACTGTTTCTTTGGTACAGCTATGAGTTAGAGCTGTGAGTTGTTCCCTTATTTCTTCTCTTGGTTTTCTGGAATTCTCTGTGGAAAAGTGAGCATCTCAGGATGTAGTGCTCCATTTCCTAAAATTTAGTGTCTTTAGGGCTCAACATTTAATTTTTTTCTACTTACCCATAAAACTTGAGGAAATGAAAAAATAGCCCTATCTTATTCTAAAGTAATTCAAAATGATATTTCCTTTCCAACAAGTAGCTTTGATAACAATAAATTTTAATTTTTAAATCTCCATTGATAGGTATTATCTTTCAAAAGTGTTTTCTGTGTTATGTCAGAATTTGCTTTCTGACAACATCTCTAAATCATGATGTTTACAGCAGTGCCTAACACAGTGTCTTACTTGTAGTGAGCAGTCAAGAAGTGTTTGTGGGCCAGGTGTGGTGGCTCAAGCTTGTAATTCCAGCACTTTGGGAGGCCAAGTCGAGGGGATCACTTGAGCCCAGGAGTTTGAGATCACCCTGGGCAACATGAGACTTCCATCTCTATTTTTAATAAAAAGAAGGAAAAAAAAATAAGTGTTTATGGAATTAAACTGAACAGTTTAACAGTTGTTAGGCAGTTTAGAAATCCAGTATAAATGCAGTTTGAATTTTTTAATATAAGTAATATAATTTTGTTAAATAGTTCCTTTTATTATCTCAGATTTTTTAAGCGACTCAAAAGCTTTTTTAAAAGGCTGGGTGTGGTGGCTCACGCCTGTAATCCCAGCACTTTGGGAGGCTGAAGCAGGCAGATCACCTGAGGTCGGGAGTCTGAGAGCAGCCTGACTAACATGGTGAAACCCTGTCTCTTAAAAAAAAAAAAAATTTTAAAATTACACTAACTTAAAATTTTTAAAAAAAATTTTTCCTGTAAAAGGATATTAAACTTTCAGTGTATATGCTGACTTTCTTACAGATGAATAGGATTTCTGATGTTCTGCAGTTCTGAAATGTAGAGAATTGCTATATAAGCAGTAAGATGTAATGTTTTAGACCAGGAGCCCTGAAGTCAGACTACATACTTACAAATCCAGGTTCTGCCACCTTTAGTCATGGGACCTGGGAAAATTATTTAATCTTTCTATACCTTAATTCATTTAAAGATAGTGTTAATAATCTGTACCTTATAGTTTTATTGTGATAGCTAAATGCATAAAAATGCCTAGGATGGTATTTAGAACATAGTTAATATTCAATAGATTTTGTTATTATTTTTATGATGTGTTTAAAAGTTCCTTTTAATTTTTTCCTTCAAGGTCCACTTATAAAGATGTAAACTTGGTGGACTATTCACTCTTACCTGATAAGAGGATAGAATAAATGGAATTCTTTCAACTATTATAGTTGATAAAGTCTGTTCTAGCATTTTTCTTTAAGAAGCTGTGCTTTGGTGCTCTCAGATGCATCAGTGTCCCCTGTGTAACATTCATATTTTGAACAGTTTATGTTGTTTTCTAATCACTAATTAAAACTAAAGAATAACTAGCAATTTTATCTTTTATTCGATAAGGAAGCACTAAGTAATATGGATGATTATGACAAAACCTGCTTGGAGTCTGCATTAGTTGGCGTTTGCAATATCGTTCAGCAAGAATGGGGTGGTGCAATTCCTTGCCAGGTAAAAATCAATTCTTTTCATTTCCCTAAGTTAACAACATTAACCACTGAGGTGCTTCAGTTTTCTTCAGGCTCTGACATAGCATACATAGTAATTTCTACAAACTACATTTTACACTATTGGTATCTTCTTAAGAGAAGGTACTAAATCAACACTAAGTTGTTCAGAAAGCAGCAAAATTATGTCTTAAGGAAAGCATCCTCCTAGTAAATTGACATATTTCAAACTAGTACTGTTATATAAAACACAAAGGGCTCACAGTGGAATTTTAGAACTATACTCCCTGGAAGGGGTCATTATAATTTTGAGTGTTAAAATTGTAAACTTCAGTATAATATAGCCTGTCTTCATTATCTCTATGCAATTATTCAGCAGACTTTTGTTTTTGTTTTTGTTTTTGTTTTGTTTGTGGTTTTTTGTTTTTTTTGGAGATAGTTTCTTACTTTGTTGCCCAGGCTAGAGTGCAGTAGAGCTGTCATGGCTCACTACAGCTTCAACTACCCAGGCTCAGGTGATTCTCCCACTTCAGCCTCCTGAGTAGTAGAGAGTACAGGCAAATGCAATCACACTTGGCTAAATTTTTACATTTTTTTGTAGAGATGGAGTTTTGTCATGTTGCCATGGCTGGTCTCAAACTCCTGGGCTCAGGCGATCCGCCTGCCTCTTCTCCCAAAGTGCTGGGATTATAAGGGTGAGCCACTATGCCTAGCCTTATTCAGCAAACTTTTAACCATCTCATCTGAGTTGTCTAAAAAGTGAGGAGTATAAAACATAAAATCTGGCTGGGCGTGGTGGCTCACGCCTGTAATCTCAGCACTGTGGGAGGTTGACGCAGGAGGATCACAAGGTCAAGAGATCAAGACCATCCTGGCCAACATGGTGAAACCCTGTCTCTACTAAAAATACAAGAATTAGCTAGGCATGATGGTGTGCACCTGTAGTTCCAGCTACTCTGGAGGCTGAGCTGGGAGAATCACTTGAACCCAGGAAGCAGAGGTTGCAAGTGAGCTGTGATTGTGCCACTGCACTCCAGCCTGGTGACAGAGTGAGACTCTAGCAAAAAAAAAACAAAAACAAGAAAAAATAACAAACCATAAAATCTGTTGCTCTTTACTTAGACTCCACAGTAGGCCGCATTAGCATCAAATCAGAGCAGAATAGTAGCAGAAAAAGACAACTGGAAATTTGCTCTATACAGATATTTCTGAGAAGTAGTAGCATATTTTGAAGGACAAATGCAGAAACATTGTTGAAAGAAAAATCATAATAGTCTACAACAGGAGTCTGCAAGGTTTTTTTATATTTTAGGCTTTGTAGGTGTCTGTGGCAACTACTCAACTCTGCTGTTACAGCATGAAAACAGCCATAGCTGTTTAGTACGGTAAATGAATGGATAGGACTGTGTTTAAATAAAACTTTATTTACAAAAACAGGGCCAAATTTAGCCTGTGGGCCATGGTTTGCTGGACCCTGGTGTGTGACTTTTCCTTATGGAGTCAAACACAGGATTCCTCAGTTCAGTACTATCACTAGTATTTATTTATTTATTTATTTACCTTTTTGAGCTGGAGTTTCGCTCTTGTTACCCAGACTGGAGTGCAATGGCACGATCTCAGCTCACCGCAACCTCTGCCTCCTGAGTTCAAGCAATTCTCCTGCCTCAACCTCCTGAGTAGCTGGGATGACAGGCACGTGCCACCATGCCCAGCTAATTTTTGTACTTTTAGTAGAGATGGGGTTTCACCATGTGGACCAGGATGGTCTCCATCTTGACCTTGTGATCCACCTGCGTCGGCGTCCCAAAGTGCTGGGATTACAGGCGTGAGCCACCCCGTCCGGCCTAGTATTTATTTTTTAATAATTAAAAAAAAAAAGATTGTAGCCAGGCATGGTGGCTCACACCTATAATCCTACCACTTTTTGAGGCCAAGGCAGGTGGATCACTTGAGCCCAGGAGTTCAAGACCAGCCTGGACAACATAGTGAGGCCCTGTCTTTAAAAAAAAAAAAAAAGATTGTAGTTGCCTGGGAGTCAAGCAGGAGGGAATCTGGGACATGATGGAACTGTTCTTTATCTTGTTTTAGGGGTGGTTACACAACTGAATACAGCTGTCAGAACTCATAGAACTGTATACTAAAAAGGGTGAATTTACTGTGTGTAAATTGTATCTCAATAAACTCACCTTTAGAAAACAACTAAAACATTTTTTCTTATTGTGAAAACCACCCTGTTTTATAGAATCTAGTGGATACTTGCTAAAGAAGTCAATGAATGCCTTTTGATCAATTTCTTTTCAGAAATAAAAAAGCTTTTTATAGCATCTTCCCTTTTAGGCATTATCTATTTTGGTAAATCTGTGCATATAGAATGTCTTATTTCCTAACAATATAGTGAATAAATGAAGTTTTGTTGTCAGTATCTTCTGAACTGAAAGCTAGCAGGTAACAGTTTCATTTGCTGTTTTTTCTTTGGTTTTAGAGGAGAAACTCAAATTTTAAGAACCAGACCTTGTGCATCATGTAGACATTTGACTTTTATGATTTTCTTCTTTTTAATAAAGGAAAAATCTGAATTTGAGATATACTGTATGTAACCTGCGGGCAAGGGGCTGAGCTGAATCCATATCCACTAAAAATATAAAAATTAGCTGGGCACAGTGGCACATGCCTGTAATCCCAGCTACTTGGGAGGCTAAGGCAGGAGAATCACTTGAACCCAGGAGGCGGAGGTTGTGGTGAGCTGAGATCGTGCCATTGCACTCCAGCCTGGGCAACAAGAGTGAAACTCCATCTCAAAAAAAAACAAAACACAAAAAAATATTGTAGTAGAGGTGGTGGTTATTGGTTATTCATTTTTATAATCAGTTACTGTAAAACAAACTTGTTTAAATGTGAAATTTTTGGCCAGGCAGGATGGCTCACCCCTGTAATCCCAGCACTTTGGGAGGCTGAGGTGGATGGATCACCTGAGGTCAGCAGTTAGAGACCAGCCTGGCCAACATAGTGAAACCCTATCTGTACTAAAAATATAAAAATTAGCCAGGCATGGTGGCCTGCACCTGTAATCCTAGCTACTCAGGAGGCTAGATAGGAGAATCGCTTGACCTGGGAAGTGGAGTTCGTAGTGAGCTGAGAATGCACCATTGCACTCCAGCCTAGGCAACAAAGTGAGACTCTGTCTCAAAAAAAAAAAATGGAATTTTTTAAACCAAGGTTTTGTTTTTTAATTATTATTTTATTATTTTTTTGAAACAGTCTTGTCCTGTCGCCCAGGCTGGAATGCAGTGATGTGATCTTGGCTCACTGCAACCTGTGCCCTCCTGGGCTCTAGCAATTCTCATGCCTTAGTCACCTGAGTAGCTGGGACTACCATAGTGTGCCACTGTGCCCTACAGAAGTGCATTACCACGCCTGGCTAATTTTTGTATTTTCTGCAGACAGAGTTTTGCCATGTTTACCAGACTGGTCTTGAACTCCTGGTCTAAAGTGACCCACTGGCCTTGGCCTCCCAAAGTGCTGGGATTACAGCCAAGGTTTTAGACAGCTGTACTGTGTCCTTATTATTCAGTAAAGCCTGTTTCATTTTGACATTACATGAAATATTTCATTATCATATAGCATCTTTAAAAGCTGGTGGAGGTAAATCATTATATAGCAATTGTTGGTACCAGAAAAGGAAATTGCCTTGTAGTCAATTGACTATCATGTCAAAAGATGGCATCCTTCTAGGAAACCTCTCTTAAGCATTCTTGGGCTTTATCAGTAAGGGCCAATCTTGATATTTCACAAAGTGCCACCACTTAATACTGCTGTAAGGGCTGTGCATGGTGGCTTACACCTGTAATCCCAAAACTTTGGGAGGCCAGGGTGGGTTTATCACAAGGTCAGGAGTTTGAGACCAGCCTAGCCAATATGGTGAAACCCTGTTTCTACTAAAAATACAAAAATTAGCTGGGTGTGGTGGCACACACCTATAGTCCCAGCTGCTCAGGAGGCTGAGGCAGAATCGCTTAAACCTGATTAAAGGTAGAGGTTGCAGTGAGCTGAGATCACACCACTGCACTCCAGCCTGGGAGAGAGAGTGAGACTCCATCTCAAAAAAAAAAAAAAGAATATTGTCTCAATGGCCTTTCATTATCAAGTTACTGGACTAGGCTAGGAAGAGCAAAAATAATCTTCCCCTGGGATGCATGAGGTCTGTCTACCACAGGATCATTCTGAAGCAATGAAGGAAAGGAAAATGATTTTGCAATTACTATCCATTGTTGGTTTATTTTACTGTTTTTTTCAAATTACAGGTAGATTAAGAATGCATTTTAGGGCCGGGCGCGGTGGCTCAAGCCTGTAATCCCAGCACTTTGGGAGGCCGAGGCGGGTGGATCACGAGATCAAGAGATCGAGACCATCCTGGTCAACATGGTGAAACCCTGTCTCTACTAAAAATACGAAAAATTAGCTGGGCATGGTGGCATGTGCCTGTAATCCCAGCTACTCAGGAGGCTGAGGCAGGAGAATTGCCTGAACCCAGGAGGCGGAGATTGCGGTGAGCCGAGGTCGCGCCATTGCACTCCAGCCTGGGTAACAAGAGCGAAACTCCGTCTCAAAAAAAAAAAAAAAAAAAGAATGCATTTTAGGCTGAGTGCGGTGACTCAAATGCTTGTAATCACAGCACTTTGGGAGGCCAAGGCGGGTGGATCACAAGGTCAGGAGTTCAAGAGCAGCCTGACCAACATGGTGAAACCCCGTCTCTACTAAAAATACAAAAATTAGCCAGGCATGGTGGTGTGCACCTGTAATCCCAGCTACTTGGGAGGCTGAGGCAGGAGAATCGCTTGAACCCGGGAGGCGGAGGTTGTAGTGAGCCAAGATCACAACATTGCACTCCAGCCTGGGCAACAGAATGGGATTCCGCCTGAAAAAAAAAAAAAAGAATGCATTTTAAATATCTTGTTTATTTTTGGTTAAGCAGCCTTTATAAATACATATTTTAAGCAGGTGTCATTTTAGTTGACCAGGCATAGAGTTTATCATCTTTGAAAATAAAGTGGCAAAGTTCAGACTACTGTGCTGGTACTTCTTAGGGACATATGTGAAATGAATTCTCGTTCCATTTTTGACATTGGTATGTTAGGTACCAACTCCTTATCCAAGAGATGGGGCTAATTTTTTGTTTTTGTTTTTGTTTTTATGAGATGGAGTCTCACTCTGTCACCCAGGCTGGAGTGTAGTGGCACTATTTTGGCTCACTGCAACCTCCATCTCCTGGGTTCAAGCAATTCTCCTGCCTCAGCATCCCGAGTAGCTGGGATTACAGGCATGCAACAGCACATCCAGCTAATTTTTGTATTTATTTTTTTGTAGAGACAGGGTTTCACAATATAGGCCAGCTGGTCTCAAACTCCTGACCTTGTGATCTGCCTGCCTCGGCCTCCCAAAGTGCTGGGATTACAGGCATGAGTCACTGTGTCCAGCCTGCAGTTCTAGTTTTAATACAATCAAGTAAGAATTGGTTGTGAATATTTTTGTCCTTTTTTAAGTGTTCAGAGGCAAGCTTTTAAAAAATACTGTATTAGATGAAATAGAATAAAATGCACTGATTTTAAGTATACAGTTCACTGAGTTTTGACAAATGTATACACCTATATAACCACTACTACAATTAAGATATAGTGGTCTTGACCCTATAATGTAGAGTGGGGTTCTAGCACACCACAAAATTTTCTCATGCCCTTTTTTGGGATTTTTTTGGAGGGGTTGGGATTTGTTGTGTTTTTTGAAACAGAGTCTCACTCTGTCACCCAGGCTAGATTGCAATGACACACTCACTGCAGCCTTGACCTCCCAGGCTCAAGTGATCCTCCCACCTCAGCCTCCCAAGTAGCTGGGCCTGCAGGCATGCACCACCATGCCTAGTTAATTTTTGTATTTTTTTAAGACGGGGTTTCACCATGTTGGTCAGGCTGGTCTTGAACTCCTGACCTCAGGTGATCTGCCCGCCTTGGCCTCCAAAGTGCTTGGATTACAGGCATGAGCCACCACACCTGGCAATTTTTGTATTTTTTGTAGAGACAGGGTTTCACCATGTTGCCCAGGCTAGTCTTGAACTCCTGGCCTCAAGAGATCTCTTTGCCTTGGCCTCCCACAGTGCTAGGATTACACGCATGAGCCACCACATCAGGCCTGTTTTTTTGTTTTGTTTTGTTTTTTGTAAAAAAAAATGACAGAATCTGTCGCCTAGACTGGAGTGCAGTGATGTGACCATGGCTCACTGCAGCCTTGACCTCCCAGGCTCAAGTGATCCTCCCACCTCAGCCCCCCAACTTTCTGGGACCACAAGTGCATGCCACCACTCTTAACTAATTTTTAAAAAACTTTTTGTAGAGATGGGGTCTGCTTATATTGCCTGGGCTGGTCTTGAACTTCTGGAGTCAAGCAATCCTCCTGCCTTGGCCTCCCAAAGCACTGGGATTACAGGCTTGAGCCACCGTACCCCACCCTGGTGTCCCTTTCTAGCAGTGAAAACACTGCTAAATGGGACTGCTTTAAATATGTAATTTAATGTACAACCTCCTCTCTCTCTTTTTACAAACAGGTTGTCCTGGTAACAGATGGCTGTCTTGGCATTGGTAGAGGGTCATTACGACATTCCCTAGCTACTCAAAATCAACGAAGTGAAAGCAACAGATTTCCACTGCCTTTTCCTTTCCCATCTAAGTTATATATCATGTGCATGGCAAATTTGGAGGAGGTAATAACTTACTAAGTTCTTTTTAGTTTGATTAGGCATATTTTACAATTTAGTTTATTTTTTAGTAGATACCACTAGTACTATATTGTATATACTGTAGCACTGAACTCCACTGGTTTCATCTGAGCCTGGTCACTTTATCTGAAAAGATTCTGGGTCTAAAATGTTATTTGAAATTTCAGAGTGTTGCCCCATCTGGGGAACACAGCTGGAGTTGTTAACCATCCTCCTGATGGAGGCATAAAGGGTCAAGGTTTTCTTTTTGTTAGTCATTTCCCTTATTTAAGAATTCACATGTCTATTCCACCAGAAATGTTTACAGGAGTATGCTTTGACTATGACAGAAGAATAAAGTAACATTATTCTGACATACGTTTTATTAAACACTTCTTGCTTTTCCCATTCATTTGGCAATGTGATTTAACCTTTCTTCCCCTCAGTTTTTCTCTCTGTAAAATGTAGATAATGATGGTTCTCACCAAAAGATGTTAGAAACACTTTGGAGGGAAGATGCTGTGTAAATACTAACTGTGGTCACTGCTGAGAATCTTTGCAAAACTACTTCTGAATGGCATAGCTCTATGTGTGTCATTTTGTGTTAACATTCCTCTTTGGTAACCTTGAGTCAAAATTATTGTAGTTATTTTCTTCTCACATTGGCTGTTAAAAAAAATCATCTCAGTTATGTATTGCCTATGTTATAGTAATGGCCTTGACTTTGGTGTGCTGATGATAATCAGGCATTTTGTTACACTTTAAAGGGTCATCTGTTTTGCTTTACAGCTCCAAAGCACCGATTCCTTGGAATACCTTGAACGTCTCATAGATTTAAACAATGGTGAAGGGCAGATTTTTACTATTGATGGCCCCCTGTGCTTGAAGAATGTACAGTCTATGTTTGGGTGAGTATATGCTTAGAGCTCTTTTGCCTTCTTTACAATCCAGTATTATAATTTGACATCCAGAAAGACTATCTGTTTTACTGTTCCTAATTGTGTCATTTCATTTTCCCCAAGTTGTACATTTTTCAGATAAAATGATTGGTAGTAATGATTTTTTTTTTTTTTTTTTTGGAGACAGAGTCTTGCTCCGTTTCCAGGTGCTAGGCTGGAGTGCAGTGGCATGATCTTGGCTCACTGCAACCTCAACCTCCTGGGTTCAAGCAATTCTCTTTCCTCAGCCTCCCAAGTAGCTGGGACTACAGGTGCATGCCACCGCGCCCTGCTAATTTTTGTATTTTTAGTAGAGACAGGGTTTCACCATGTTGGCCAGAATGGTCTCAATCTCTTGACTTCATGACCCGCCCGCCCCCCAAAGTGCTGGGATTGCAGGTGTGAGCGACTGTGCCCGGCCAGTAATGGTTTTTTAAAGTAAATCTATACTGCCTGTAGATACTGACCTCCTTATAATGGCTCAGCAATTTCAAAGGTTAGTTAACTTGCTCTTGGGCTTTTCAGAATTGCAGTTTCCTCACTCAAAATGTCAGATTTTGTTCTGTTTTACAGACGGTCAGATCTTTTGGAACCAACTTGAAAAGAAAACAACCCTTGTGTCTTGAAATATGAATTTTATATGTATCATATTACTCTTCCTGTAACTTACTTATCATATTCTAGAAAACTGATAGATCTGGCATATACACCTTTTCATGCTGTTCTCAAGTGTGGCCACCTAACTGCTGATGTACAAGTCTTCCCCAGGCCAGAACCTTTTGTTGTAGATGAAGAAATTGATCCTATCCCTAAAGTCATTAACACAGGTAACTTTTTAAAAAACTTCTCAGTTTCTCTGTTATCCTTACCTTTTCTGACTTGTGACTTTACTCTCTTCTCGGTCTAGGAATGTTGAAAAGAAATATATATTGTGATACATGTTGAGTATTCCTTATCCAAAATGCTTGGGACCAGAAGTGTTTCAGATTTCAGATATTTTCAGGTTTTGGGATATTTGCATTTTACTTAGTGATTCAGCATCCCTAATCTGAAAATCTAAAGTGCTCCAGTGAACATTTCCTTTGAGCTTCATGTCAGCTTCATGCATGTATAATAGTTGCGGATTGTGGAGCATTCTGGATTTCAGATTTTCAGATAGGGGATACCCAACCTGTACTAAGGGTGCTGTTGTCATCAGCACTTTGGATTGGAAGATTCATTATCTAAGGGGTGGCAGAATATTGGTCTTTTATGGTAAGGTCATCAGTTGATCTCCAATCCTAGTTAATTGAGTTGGAAATCATAGCCATATTCACTAACATTAAAATCTTTGAGATGATTCTTAATAGACATACTGAGATTAATTAGTATCATAATTAAGCCATATAAGAAGGGCTAGCTTATATACTTTGCAGTATGACTCTTGCTATGTGACCCTGGGAAGTCTTCCTCCAGTTATTATTGGATAGGTAGGGAGAATCAACCAGATGGTCTTGGAGTTCTTGGATCTGATATAGTGTACTCTTCTAGCCCTGCGACTTATATTATGACTGAATAAAAGTGGTGTTTCACAGCTTTTGCCTGGTTCATGTTGCTAGTACTATGCTTAATTGAGATTGGCAAAGTGAAGAGTCAAAAATAGCAAGGAGCAGTGAAGAGGAGACTTGCCTCCTATTGGTGAGTGTTAGGTGCATGTTAAACCTCTTAGGGATGGATATTATCAGTGTTTCAGTCACCATTACAGCCTTGATGTCGAGCACAGTGCCTGACACTTAGTAGGTGCCCAATAGGTAATTGTTCAGTCAATCAATGATTAGAATTAATGTGCAGTACCTGCACATTGTTTTGGGTATATGGATTTTTAAGGGGTTTTGGAGTAAGGGGCTGTGAACAGTCATTTTACTTTTTGTGGGCCTTTAGCTTCTGGCTATCTGGAAGCAAGGCATCCATCTCTTCTACTGTGACTAGACAGCAGTATATTAAGCTGTACCGAAAGTCTTGTTGCCTTCGTAACAGTTAGATTCCACTTCCTTTTCATCCTTTTTTGATAAGTAAATTTGAATAGGTCTTTTCTTTCCCATATAAACTCTTAGTGGAAGATCTTTCTTGCAGATAAACTACCTTAAAATATGTAGGCCTTTTTCTATTCAAATGAAAAATATCTAGTTGCTTATACTAATGCATTTACTATTCAGCTAAGGGAAGTAAGGATAGCAAATCTCCAGAAAAACACACTTGCTAATGTATTAGAAATATAAAGTACTCACCATGATTCTGATTTTTAAAAATTCTTTTGAAAATATGGGTATTGGCCGGGCGCGGTGGCTCAAGCCTGTAATCCCAGCACTTTGGGAGGCCGAGGCGGGTGGATCACGAGGTCGAGAGATCGAGACCATCCTGGTCAACATGGTGAAACCCCGTCTCTACTAAAAATACAAAAAATTAGCTGGGCATGGTGGTGCGTGCCTGTAATCCCAGCTACTCAGGAGGCTGAGGCTGGAGAATTGCCTGAACCCAGGAGGCGGAGGTTGCGGTGAGCCGAGATCACGCCATTGCACTCCAGCCTGGGTAACAAGAGCGAAACTCCGTCTCAAAAAAAAAGAAAAGAAAATATGGGTATTAACCTAGAAGAAAGACTGAAAAGCACATCAGTAAAATATTAAGATATTTCCTTTGATTATGAATGAGTGACTTTTTCTTCTTTATAATTTTTATTGTTTTTTAAGTCTATATTATTTATATTATCAAAATTTTTATGTTCTTTTGGTTACAACATTTATTTTAGGTTTTCAACAAATACTTTTGGTCTTTAATACAGCTTCTGTAAAGCAGAGAAATCATTGTCATATTTAGACTGCTTACCCTAGTTTTGTAAAGAATACAGTTTTTTCTCAGAGAGATGTTTTTAATACAAGAGCTTTATTTTTCAAAAGCTGATTATAGTTGCTGTGGAAGTGTTTGACTCTGATGCCACCTAGTGACCTGAACATCCCTGACTATACAAAGGGATTTGACCTTTCAGATTTTTGCCTTGACTGGGATCCCAGCGTTATAAAAATAAAGTTTAGCTGATTTTGTCATATAACTTACCTTCATTAAGTAAATGACAGTTATCATTATTTCCTGATCAACTTAAAATGCAAATTATTAGATGACTCCATAGACAAATCTAATAACTTTCCCAGTCATCATATTTGAAACCCCAACCTAAACAGTACATTTGTGAAATTTAGTACAGAAAATAATGTACTTTTCCATAGAATGATTTAATTCTATATTGATTCCTTCCTTTCAGATTTGGAAATAGTGGGATTTATTGATATAGCTGATATTTCAAGTCCCCCAGTTCTGTCCAGACATCTGGTCTTACCTATAGCACTTAACAAAGGTGAGTTCTCTTCCTATTCCAGTGATACATATGAAGCATCTTATTAACTAAAATTATTCTTAAACCTTAGATAGTAGGAGAGCCCATTTTGCAGAATTTAGGGGAAAGGAATAGTTGCAGAATTGGATTTCAGAAAATGGAATGTTGGCTAATATATCAAAAAAGTAATTCTACTGTGGCTGGGCATGGTGGCGCACGCGTGTAATCCCATCACTTTGGGAGGCTCAGGTGGGCAAATCACTTGAGGTCAGGAGATTGAGACCATCCTAGCCAACATGGTGAAACCCCGTATCTGCTAAAAATAAAAAAGTTAGCCAGGTGTGGTGGTGCACATATGTAGTCCCAGCTACTCGGGACACTGAAGCAGGAGAATTGCTTGAACTCCAGAGGCAGAGGTTGCAGTGAGCTGAGATTGCGCCACTGCACTCCAGCCTGGCTATAGAGCAAGACTCCATCTCAAAAGAGAAAAATAGTAATTCTACTGCTTTACATGGTAGAAAACATTTTGACACATATTTACTGTGTGTTGGTTTGTGAATTTACAGTGGAGGTCTTCTTTAGAGATGAAAATGCTTAGTCCCTCATCCAGGGCTCTGCCTTTCCTAGTAGAACATGCCAAGAAAGCCTAAGTAATTATCAGAAGGTTACTTGATAAATGTGCAAGTTAAATACAGCTTTATACAGGGAAGAAGTACATCTGTTCTTTGTTCTGCTAGTGCCCAGCACATAGTAGATACTCAGTAAATATTGTTGAATGAAAGAGTGAATCCAAGTCCTTGTGAATCCTCGTTACTACAGCATATATCTCCAGGAACTATAAAGTCAACTTCCCAAATTCAGCGTCTCTCTGGAGAATGCTAGTCTGTAGCTCTTTAAAATTCTCTTTTTCAAGGGAGGCACTGTGCCGTGGTGGGTGTAGAGCAGGAGCTCTGGTCCCTGATTGGCTACAGGTTCAAATCCCAGTTCTACTACCCAGTTCTAATTACCTTTTTCTCTGTTTTAGGCTGACCATCCACTTTATATTTATCAGCTTCTCTAAGAATTGTATATAGTCAGTCAGGTTTTCACATACTAAGCAATGACCACATTCCATTTATCCCCAGGTTATCTCAGTTGGAGTTTGGATATCGGATATTGCATAATCACTCAATCACACGTTCACAGACAGAATCTTGGTATATACACACAGATGGCTTTATAATCACTGTGTTGATAATTTATTATTCTTAGAGAACAGCCAGATTTCACTTATTTTTAAGGCCCTGGGGAATTCTGCATGCAGCATAGTTGCCAAGAAAGAAATTGAGCAGGCCAGGCATGGTGGCTTATGCCTGTAATCCCAGTACTTCGGGAGGCCAGGGCGGATGGATCACGAGGTCAGTAGTTCAATACCAGTCTGGCCAAGATCGCAAAACCCCGTCTCTAATAAAAATACCAAAATTAGTTGGGCATGGTGGCAGGTGCCTATAATCCCAGCTACTCAGGAGGCTGAGGCAGAGAATTGCTTGAACCCGGGAGGCAGAGGTTGCAGTGAGCCGAGATTGCACCACTGCACTTCAGCCTGTGCAACAGAGCAAGACTCTGTGTCAAAAAAAGAAAAAAGGAAAGAAAGAAATTGAGCAAAATAAAGCATTTATATAGGAGAATAGTGAAAAGAAAAATATGGGAAGGCAGAATGGGGCCATGTTATAAGGGCTGTTGAAATGTCTAGCTAAACTGGGCAAATTCTTCCGTTGAATTAGAAAGTCTTTGAACAAAACAGAGCAGACAGATATTTTCAGAGGGAAGTTAATTTTAGGAAGATTCACCTGTCAACAGAGTGTGAGAGAATCTGGAGAATCCAATCAAGAAGTTTATAGAGTAATCATTGTTTACCTTTGGGGACTCATGCATATGCTGCCCTAAGGCTGTTGGTTACAAATGCCTTTGACATCTTTGTATCTAATTCTCTTGAAATGGGTACCTGAAATTTCCAGATAGCATCTAACTAAACATCCTAGTGGAACTGTGGAAAATGAATTTTTGTGTATGTAGCAGCTTTACTGAGATAAAATTCACATACCATATACTTCACCCATTTAAAGTGGTTTTTAGTATATTTGCAGAGTTGAGCAACCATCACCACAATCAATTTGAGAACTTTTTTATAACCCCAAAAAGAAACCCTGCACCCTTTAACTATCAACTCCCAGACCCCTCCCCCATTTCCCCTACCTCAAATAACTACTAATATCCTTTCTCTATATATAGATTTGCCTAGTCTGGATATTTTATATAAATGGAATTCATATAATGTGTGGAAACAGACTTTTATGTAGACAGTAGAAAACTGGAATGAATTTTCTGGGTCATCATATTGTTAAAATATTTCCTTAGAACTCTGTATACTATCCCTTCAAGGCTAGAAACATCCAAGAGTATAAATTGGGGTTTGGGGTTTTTAGCTAATTTTACTCTAACCTGTTTTCTCTTTTTTTCACAGAAGGTGATGAGGTGGGTACTGGCATCACTGATGACAATGAAGATGAAAATTCAGCCAATCAGATTGCAGGCAAAATACCCAACTTCTGTGTCCTGCTCCATGGTAGCCTGAAAGTAGAAGGAATGGTAGCGATTGTTCAGTTAGGGTAGGAAACTTTGTTTACCTTTGGTTGAATGAAAGGGAAAATCATTTTATAAAGTGAAGTATATTGGAGACTTCTCTGAAAGAAATAGAAAGGTCCTTATCACCGTTTTCCTTTTCCTGACGCATTCTTCCCACCTGCTATTACATTCTTTTTTTCTTTTGAGACAAGGTCTTGCTCTGTCCCCCAGGCTGGGGCACAGTGGCGTGATCATGGCTCACTGCAGCTTCAACCTCCCAGGCTCAAGCAATCCTCCCATCTCAGGCTTCCAAGTAGCCAGCACCCAGGTGTGCACCACATGCCTGGCTAATTATTTATTTATTTATTTATAGAAGTGGGATCTCACTGTGTCGCACAGGCTGGTCTTGAACTCCTGGGCTCAAGGATCCTTCTACTTTGGCCTCCAGAAGTGCTAGGATTATGGGCGTTGAGCCACAGTGCCCGGCTGCTATTACCTTCTAAACTATTTTTTAAATCATCCCCTAGAATAAGTATGGAGTGAGCCATCTATTATGTTGCCTTTATATCCTTTCTCAATTTTCCTCTTTTTAAATCCTATCTAGGATACCTGGGTTCTGGTTATAGCAATGCTATGAACTTGCTTTAAAATCGTAGGCAGGATTCATAGGCTCCTGATCTATAAAATGAGGGGATAGAACTAAATGGAAAACAAAAAAGACGCTGATAACATTGAGCATTTTATTATGTGCCAGGCACTCCTCTAGGTACTTTACATATGTTAGCACATTTAATCCCTCATAACAACACTATATGGGAGGTACCAGCATTATCCCTGTTTTATAGATGAGGAGACTGGGGCTTAGAGAGGTCATGGAACTTCCTGAAGGTCACACAGCTAGTAATGAAAGAGCCATGGTTCTTACCCATGCATTCTGACTCCAGAGCCTACTCATAATTATTCTGCTGTGTTCCTTCCCTGTGAGGAAGTCCTGTATAGCTTTTACGTTTTCCAAAGTCACAAAATCTGCAAAACCATCTATTTCCCTTTCTGTAATACCTATTGTTAGAAAAGAGGAGGTCACTGATTATCTTCTGGCCGCTACCTGGGGTTGGCTGGTATAGATCAAGAGGTTAGGATTAATCAGAGGAAGCATGGCTCCATTTCTGCTACAGTTAAAATTAGCTGGTCCAAAAAGGAATGCAGTTCTTATTAGGTATTAGTCTGCTATATTTCTTGGCACCCAAACTACTTGTACTGGTTTGAATATGAGAATCATCTGGGGCCCTTTGAGAAGCTGGGACAGGGTCTCTCTTACAGCACAGGGTGATAGCCTTGTGCCTGCGGTAGAAGGGCTTCTCTTGGTGCTGCTGTGAGTGACACAGTGTGGAAGCTGACAGGACCTATAGGTCACAGCCTTTACCCCTCCTCATCACTTCTCCAGCTACTTGCTGCCCTTTGTGATTTGTTTTTTCTCTTTCTAGGCTGCCTTTGATTTTCATATCCACATAATTTTACCTGAATAATAATAAATGTCCCAGAAAAATGGAAATATTAGAGGGCAGCAGTACGCATTTTCAGGTTTAGGATTTGGCTTTGGTAAAAATAATATGCCTGATTTCCAAACTGAAGGCTGTGTCTCTCGAGAAAAATATAGGCTAGACTTATTTAACTTAACCGTCTCAGACTTGATGTTCTTCTGATCTTCCATCTTTTCTCCATCTAGTCCTGAATGGCATGGAATGCTCTACTCCCAAGCTGACAGCAAGAAGAAATCAAACCTCATGATGTCTCTCTTTGAGCCTGGCCCAGAACCTCTCCCATGGCTAGGGAAAATGGCACAGTTGGGTCCTATTTCAGGTATAATCCAGATCAGATTTTACTTACCTTGGTTTTGTTTTCATTCTGCTGTTCTCAATGTCTCTGACGGTGTAGTCAGAGAACTGACTGATCTCCCCTACTGGTACGCCTTGGTCTCGGATGGTGCTGGATAAGTACATGGAAAACTTGAAGAGAGTTTGATGTTGGAACTCCTAAATTTTACAGCTCAGGAGAAATCAACATTTAGATTGCTTTAAGTAAATACAAACTCTTTTAATGGCTTAGACTGAAAAACTAATCTCCATAATATTTTTTCTTGATATACTGTATTCAACTCAAGTAATTTTCTGTTATTCCTAGATAATGTAATCCTTCCTTCTTCTTGAAACTGTTTTTCTGTAGCTTTCCTGACATTGCTTCTGGTACCTATTTGACTTTATCTTTGGCAGACTTTTCTGTCTCCTTCATTTTGTCTTTTCTTCCTCTTGCCTCATGGTTTCCAAGATATTGTTCTTTGCCTTCTTCTCTTTGGTTATTCTTCTCCCTTGATTATTTCATCAGCTGCAATAGCTTCACACTTCCCAAATCTGTAACTCTAGTCTCACCTGATCTCTCCTTGAAATTTGCATATCATATTTTCAGTTCCTAGTTGGATCTCTCCACCTGGATATTCTGCCACATTCTCAAGGTCACCTGTTTGTTACAGACCTATTGTCCCACACTCCTTTCTCCTCAAACTATTTCTTCTTCTGATTTTCCTCCTTTTGATTACTGCATTTGTGCCAGTAGCTGCTGAGGTTCCAACTGTAGAGTTATCTTTGACTCATTTGGGCCCATTTCAATTTCAGGAACATCTGTCAAGCAACCTATTCTGTGCCAGGCCTAAGGGATAAAGGAGTTAGCTAGAGTTGCTCAAAGTCTAGTGGGAGGTGGAATAATAAGCACAGACTGGCACAAATCAGAGTTAGGCTGGAGGAGGTGATGATGAGCTCTGCCTGGAGGACTCTGGAGAATCTTCACAGAGGAGAGATATCCTAGTTGTGTTTTGAAGAAAAGGAGGAACTTGCTGAGCTAATGAAGGAAGAAAGGGCATCCTGGGCAAGCAGAACACCTACAGAAAGAAAAGGAACTGCAGCACAAAATGAGAGTGTGTATGGGAGGAGCAGATTGGAGATTGGTTGTAGCTAGAGTGGAGCAGGCCTTATCTGCAATGTGAAGAACCAGGAATTTATCTTGCAGATACTAGGAAGCCAAAGAGTAGTAATGTGATCAGATCCTTCTGGCTACAGTGAGAACAAGGGGATACCAGTAAGGAAACTATTTTAGGGTCTGATGCCTAGGGGCAGCACCTAAAATACAGTTTCTGTACTGATATCCCCTTGTTCTCACTGCCCTTAAAATACTTAGGGGCAGGGCCGGGCGTGGTGGCTCACGCCTATAATCCCAGCACTTTGGGAGGCCAAGGCGGGTGAATCACGAGGTCAAGAGATCGAGACCATCCTGGTCAACATGGTGAAACCCCGTCTCTACTAAAAATACAAAAATTAGCTGGGCACGTTGACGCGCGCCTGTAGTCCCCGCTACTCGGGAGGCTGAGGCAGGAGAATTGCTTGAACCCAGGAGGCGGAGGTTGCGGTGAACCGAGATCATGCTGTTGCACTCCAGCCTGGGTAACAAGAGTGAAACTCAGTCTCAAAAAAAAACAAAAAAAAAAAACTTAGGGGCAGTTGTACAATATGGCCATAATTCAATTCAGAAATAAGAAATTTGTATTTAGAAAGATATCTCTGTGGAGTGTGGATTTGAAAAGGCAAGGACCTGTGGCTAAAAGTTACTATGTTAGTCCTGGAAATATGAAGATGAGAGCCAGACCATGGCAATAGCTGCAGGTAAAAGATATTTAGGAGGTAGGATCAATAACGTTTGGATGTGAAAATAAAGGAGAGGGAAGTGTTAAGAATGATCCCAGGTTTCCGACCTGGGCTGCAGGGTGAAAGATAGTACTGTTAGTTGAAATAAATAATAGAGAAAGAAGAGTAAATTTGGGAAGAACACATTTTGTTTATGTTGAGTTGGTGCCTATGAGATATAGGTGGAGGTGCCTAGAGACAATTCCATAGGATTCTGAAGTTTAGGAGAGAGGGCAGAGTTGGAGAAAAAGTTTTTGGTTGTAAGTCTATCACAAATAGTTAAAATGGTGAGAATGAGGGAGATTGCTCAGGTCAGTGGTTCACAAATTTGAGTTTTTGTGTACAAAAGTAAACTTGGAATAAATACCACACATTCGCAACCATATATGGAAGCTAAAAAAAATTGAGTTCATGGAAGTAGAGAGCAGAATGTAGACTCATGGTCATTAGAGGCTGGGAAGGGTAATGAGGAGAGGAGAACAGGGAGGGAGAACAAAGTTACAGCTACAGTATTAGGGAGGAATAAATTCAGTGCTCTATAGCATTGTAGGGTGAATATTGCTCACAATAACTTAGTGTATATTTTCAAAAAGTTAGAAGAGGGGATTTTGAATATTCACAACACAAAGAAATGATAAATATTCAGCCAGGCATGGTGGCTCATTCCTGTAATCCCAGGAACTTTGAGAGGCCAAGGCAGGTGGATCACTTGAGTCCAGGAGTTTGAGAACAGCTCGGCCAACACGGTGAAACCCTATCTCTACCAAAAATACAAAAATTAGCCAGATATGGTGGGTGGTGTGCACCTGTGGTTCCAGCTACTCAGGGAGCTGAGGTGGAAGGATCGCTCAAACCTAGGAAGCAGAAGCTGCAGTGAGCCCTGATCACACTACTGCACTCCAACCTGGGCAACAGAGCAAGACCCGGTCTTAAAAAAAAAATAAATCACGCCTGTAATCCCAGCACTTTGGGAGGCCGAGGTGGGCAGATCACCTGAGGTCAGGAGTTCGAGACAGCCTGATCAACATGGAAAAACCCCGTCTCTACTAAAAATACAGAATTAGTCGGTGTGGTGGCCCACGCCTGTAATCCCCACTACTCGGGAGGCTGAGGCAGGGGAATTGCTTGAACCAGGGAGATGGAGATTGCAGTGAGCCGAGATCATGCCACTGTACTCCAGCCTGGGCAACAAGAGCCAAACTCCATCTCAAAAAAATAATAATTATTATTATTATATTATTCAAAGGTGATGGATATGCCAGTTACCTTGATTTTATCATTACACATTGTATACATATATGGAAATATCAATCCGTATCCCATAGATATGTATTAGTTACTATGTGTCCACTAAAAATAAAAGGAAAAATAAATATGGAAAACTTGTTTAGACAGTCCATTTCCTACGTCCGACCTACAGAGATCCTGTTCATCAGGTCTGGATTCAGGCCCAGGAACTTGCAGGGTTTTTTTTCTTTTTATTCAAAAAAAATTTTTTTTTCTTTCTGACTTTCTTTTAACAGCAAAACGAACATTATTTGTGCAAGTTTTGCGGGGGTTTTTTGTTTGTTTGTTTGTTTGTTTGTTTTTTGAGACAGAGTCTTGCTTCGTTGCCAGGTGCCAGGCTAGAGTGCAGTGGTGTGATCTCAGCTTACTGCAATATCCGCCTCCCCAGTTCAAGCAATTCTGCTGCCTCAGCCTCCTGAGTAGCTGGAACTACAGGTGCGTGCCACCATGCCCAGCTAATTTTTGCATTTTTTAGTAGAGAGGGGGTTTCACCATGTTGGCCAGGATGGTTTCGATCTCTTGACCTCGTGATCCACCCGCCTCGGCCTCCCAGAGTGCTGGGATTACAGGCATGAGCCACCGCGCCCGGCCATGACTACGTATATTAAGGAAAAAATATACAACCACCAAACCCCTGGAAAGCATCAACTACTGGGGGAGCAATGGGAAGGGTGCTGGTAAAGGAAAGTGAGAAGGAAGAGGCAGATGAAAGAGGAAAAGTAGAAGAGAGAGACATCACAGAAGCCAAGAGTGAAGATTCTGGAAGAAGTAGTACCCTACCATGTCTCATACACACATGCATGTCAGTTAATGCCTGAAGAATGCCCTTTGCCATTGAGACATTGATATTTTGTCTGAATACAGGCCTTAGGAGCTAGACCGAGGCTTGGCATGTTTTTTCAGTAAAGGGGCTGATAGTAAATGTTTGTGACTTAGCAAGCCATGTAGTCCCTCTGCTGTTGTAGCACAAAAGCAGCCATAGACAACATGCAAACAAATGGAAGTGACTGTGTTCCAGTAAATTTTATCTGTGGACACTGAAAATCGAATTTGATATAATATTCAGATGTCATGAGATATTATTATTTTGACATTTTTCCCTAACCATTAAAAAAATACTTTAAAAATTCTCAACTCAAAAACAAGCAGCAGGTCATATTTTGCCAATCCTTGAGCTAGGATTTAAAGCTCATACAGGGACAAGAGATTTAATGACTTTGGTTCAAAATAAGATAAAAAACTGAAATCTCTGAATAAATCTGAGAATGTGTAAGGTCTGTCCCTTCAGTGAGAGGATAACAGGAAAAACTCTACCTATTGTTTCTACCTGATTTTCTAGAGATCAAGAAATTTAAAAATTCCCTGTGAACAGTTAAAGCCCAAGTCCTGCACCATGCAAATTGACACTACCTGTTCTGATGTAGGGAGTACAAAACCAAAAAATGCAAAAACTGGTTTTGAGCCAGTAAGATCCATAGTGTGTCCTCCAGAAGCTATTGTAATATAATGGCTCTGCAGGAATACCTCTGCAGCCCAGGGCAAAAGGACTTCCACAGAAAAAGCAAATCCCCACTGAGGATGAATGCATGGTTTGTGAGGAAATTACTTCTTTTGAAGGAAGGCTAACAGGAGAAGTAGCAGTTCAGGAACTTAATGTGAAAGATACTACAGAATGACTGTTTTAAATGATTAAAAAGTTTTAAGAGGAATAGAAATCAAGAGGAAAGAAAGGGACACTATGAATCAAGAGCCATTTGAGGCCGGGCATGGTGACTCACGCCTATAATCCTCTGGGAGGCTGAGGCGGGCAGATCACTTGAGCTCAGGAGTTCAAGACCAGCCTGGCAACATGGTGAGACTCTGTCTGTATAAGAAATAAAAATAGTTTTAAAATAATTTTTAAAAGTTATTTGAGCTTGACACATTGGTGGCTTTCAGAGCAGCTTCAGTGTGGATGGTCAGCCAAGAGATTGGCCGAGGAATGAATTAGAGATAAGGAAATGAAGATGGTAAGTTTGGCCATGAAGAGGGAGAAATAGGGCAGTAAATGGAGGAGACAGGGCAGAGCAAGTTGTGCGTGCGTGTGTGGAGTAAAGATTCCTCACCTCCTTCATCTCTATAGCATTCCGACATTTATTCTGCCTTTCATTCGCATTGCTCTTGCCTTGTTTGGCTTCCTTTACCTTTCACATAGACCAGAAGTCAACTACAACCCACAGACTAAACTGGCTCATTGCCTGTTTTTGTAAATGTTTATTGGAACCTCATTCATTTACATTTTATCTATGGTCACTTTTCTGCTACAACAGCAGAGTTCAGTATGACAAAAACCGTATGACCCATGAAATATAAAACATTTGCTGTCTGGCCCTTGCAGAAAAAGTTTGCCAACCTCTGACTAGACTATTGTGATGGTTTTCACCAAAGATACCTATCTATAATCTAAGATAGTAGTAGCATTCAAACTCCTTTCTGATCTGGCTTCCAGTGTAGCAACACTTGGCTTGTTACCATTGTTCTTAATTCCAGCTGAACTGCTGTTCACTCTGCCTTCTGTTCATGTTGTTTTTTCCTCCCTCTGGGTCTGTTCCACTTTTCAATGTGGATAATAATAGCTAATATACTGAACTTTGTGCCAGGCACTGTGCTAGACATAATGAGTGTACCATCTCATTTAACTTTCACAGCAATCTTGGGATTGGAATTATGATAACAAATAATAGTTAATAATAAAACCTACCTCAGAGGGTTGTTAGGAGAATTTATTGAGGGAAGGTATATAAAATGCTGGGCACACAGTATATGTAAATACTGCTGTTTTTGTCTGTTTTTTTTTTTTTTAAAGCAAAACATGCAAAATAGCACTATTATTTGTACCAATCCCTCCTCCTCCCAATTCTGTTCCTAGAGACAACCACTTTTTTTTTTTTTCCTTTCTTTTTCTTTTTGAGACTGGGTCTCACTCTGTTTCTCAGGCTGGAGTGCAGTGACACAATCTCTGCTCACTGCAACCTCTACCTCCCAGGTTCAAGCGATTCTCCTGCCTCAGCCTTTCTAGTAGCTGTGACTACAGGTGCAAGTTACCACACCTGGCTGATTTTTGTATTTTTAGTAGAGATGGGGTTTCACCATGTTGTTAGCCAGGCTGGTCTCAGACTCCTGACCTCAAGTAATCCTCCTGCCTCAGCCTCCCAAATTGCTGGGATTATAGGCATGAGCCACTGTGCCCCACCATATTTACATTTCTAAATAATAAAGGTGTGTCCTTATTTCTGTCAGGGGTTCCACCATTTTATTATTATTATTATTATTTTGAGACAGAGTCTCACTCTGTTGCCCAGACTGGAGTGCAGTGGCGTGATCTCAGCTCACAACAACCTCTGCCTCCCAGATTCAACTGATTCTCGTGTCTCAGCCTCCCCAGTAGTTGGAACTACAGGTGCCTACCACAGTGCTTGACTAATTTTTGTGTTTTGGGTAGAGACAGGGTTTCACCATGTTGGCCAGTCTGGTCTCAAACTCCTGACCTCAAGTGATCTTCCCACCTCGGCCTCCCAAAATGCTGGAATTACAGGTGTGAGCCACTGTGCCCAGCCTCCCATTTTATATTTATTTTTTAAGACAGGGTCTCACTGTACTCAGCTAGAGTGCAGTGCACAATCTCGGCTCACTGCAGCTTTGATCTCTCAAGAGGATGATGCTAAGATCCTCTTACCTCAGCCTCCCATGTGGCTGGGACCACAGGTGCATGCCACCATGTCTGGCTAATTTTTTTGATTTTTTTTATAGAGACAGGGTCTCACTATGTTGCTGAAGCCGGTCTCAAGCTCCTAGACTCAAGCAGTCCTCCACCTTAGCCTCCCAAACTGTTGGGAGCTAAGTGAGCCACCACAACCAGTTCTTTTCCCCCATTTTAGATGCCATTTTTTGACTTTTAAAGGATAAATGTTTAGCTCTCTTACCACCACCATCTCCTACCCACCTACACAAGAAGCACATTCTCCCTCCTTCTATCCTCCCAATATAGTTACAATGTTCTTTTTGGTTAAATCAGTATTCGGTCCTTGTTAGATGATGTAAATGTTATTTACAACTAAGCTATGTGGTATACCAATTTACATTTCCTTTGTTTTGCAACTTTTGGTCCCCTAGCTCAGTCCCAATTATTTTTTTTCTTTGCTTGTTTTCTATATAACTGACTAATTACTCCCTAAGTAAAATACATTCTTTAGGTATTTTATCAGTTTCCCCCTTTTTTTTTTTTTTTTTAGCATCATCTCCCATCCTCCTGCTTCATAAATGATATGGTTATTCCCCAGACCTGTTGCATAGGTGTCGTCCTGAGTCTTCCCTTTACATCTCTCCTATGGATCTCCTGTTCATAACCCCTCCTGAAAAAGGGGTACATGGGAAGTAAATCTTTTGAAATCTTGTATATTTGGAAATATATATATGTTTATTTCATTCTTTATACTTAATGATAGTTTGGTTAGGAATTGAGTTCTAAGTTGGAAATCATTTTCCCTCAGAGTTTTGAAGCATTACTCTGTTGTCTCTTCTGGAGTCCAGTGTTGCTATGGAAAGAGTGCCATGCTGACTCAAAGACCTTTGACCCTGAACTGTATTTTCTCCATATTCCTTGGTGATCTTCTTTGTATCTCTGGTATTCTGAATTTCAGAATGTTGGTCTCTTCGTTCATTTTGCTAGGCACTCAATGGACCCTTTCCATCTGACAGTTCATGTTTTTCAGTACTGGGAACATCAGTTATTTCCTTAATTTCCTCCTTCTGTATTCTCTATTCTCCTTTTCTGGAACATGTATTTGTGGTTTGTGTTTGTATAATTTTCTGTCTCTTTCTACCTATTTTCCCATTTTTAACATTTTTGTTCTACCTTCTGTATCTTCAGATTTATCTTATAACTTTTATTTTTTATTTATACTATCATATTTTTTTATTTCTTCTTTCATAAAGTAATATTTCCTGTCTCCTAAGCCAGTTAGTTACTGCATATAGGCTCCAGACAACTAATGACAGTACAAAATAGGCTCTGATTAGATGTTGAAATGTTTGGTACTATGCTGGGGATAGAAGGGTCTAAAAAAACCACTGTCTGCCAGAAAAACTTGGAACAATTTCATGGAAGAAGTAAGATAGGATCTGGACTTGGAATATAGGTAGGTAAGTTTGGATAGGTAAGGAATGGCAGTGTTGAATGGTGGAAAAAGTGTTGGCTTTGGAAGCAGGCCCAACTGAGTCACTGTGAAACCTTGTATAAGTCCAACCTCTCTGTGCCTTAGTTTCCTCATCTTTAATGCGACTGATAACATCTTCCCTCTAGAGTTGCTGTAAAGAAAGAAGTTGAATATGTAAAGTATCTGGCACATAGTTGGAATTTAATAAATATTCTTTATTTTTTAAATTCCTTGAGGCTGAAAGCATCTTCTCTAGACACAATGCCTGGCATAGTGCTTGCTACGCAGTGGAGTCTTATAGATAATGAATGAAAGTGAATGAGTAAATGAGTGAATGAGAAGGGAGAGCATTCTAGGCAGTGGGGAGTAATAGAATAGCAGCAGGGAAGTTGGAAACGAGCTGTTGTAGGGGAATGGACTTGTAAGACCTCAGCCTGACTCAGAAGATTTATGTATTGATAAATATTAATGGAAATATGTCTGGAAAGTCAGGCTAGTATTTTTTGGAGGAGTCAGGGCTGAGGAGGGTTGATGGAGGAAGTGTTGGGCCAGTATTAAGGTGTTTTAATTAATGACCAAATCAGGGGTGGAGAATGCCTGGCTCAAGTTAGACCAACTGATCTAATGCCATTTTTCAACATGAACATTTGGGCAAGGGATTTAAGTTCTCTGAACTTGTAGGAAAATGACTCCTGCTCTGTCTACAGCAGAAGGTAGTAATAATAAAGATCAAATACACCATTAGAAGTATGTGTGCTTTATAAGTTTGTGGCAGTTTCATAGACTCAGGAAGCAGGTACAGAGACAAACCCTATTTATGCATGTAGCTATAAAACCAACGTGACTTTAAGTTTTTGGAAGAAATAAACTAATAAGCCGTATTGTGGTATGCTTCAACAATAAAAGTATTTCTTATCTTGCCCTTTGCCTTAATTTGGCTATATATAGTTTTCCTTTTTACTTATTTTAATGCCTAGACCTATACTGTCTAATCTAGTAGCTACTAGCTACATTAAATTTAATTAAAATTAAATAAAATTTAAAATTTAGTTTCTCAGTTATGTTAGCCACAGGTCAAGTGCTCAGTAGTTAGTAGCTACCATATTAGACAGCACAGGTATAGAACATTTTCATCGTACAGAAAGTTCTGTTGGAAAGCACTGGGTTATTAGACTATATAGAATTGCAGTGTGTGTGTGCGTGTGTGTGTGCCCGCGTGCATTTAAAATATGTATTTGTTTTATGTTGGAAAGCACTGGGTTAGACTATATAGAATTGCAGTGTGTGTGTGTGTGTGTGTGTGTGTGTGTGTGTGTGTGTGCATTTAAAATATGTATTTGTTTTATCCTCTGACTTTAATTTTTAAACCAGATAAGTGAACCTTATTTCTTTAAAAATATTAAGCTGTTTTTCACTTAAGTGGGCCTCCTACATCAGTGGCTTTCTATTGAGAACAGGTTCTCCAACCTGACTGAAATTAATGGATATTCTTAATTAACAATGTGATAGGATATAAAAGATTGAATGATTCAAAGAGCTTCGAGTCTAATTGGAAATGTAACTGATTGTGTTTCGCCAGATGTCATTTCAAGATTGTCTTTTCTTTTAAGATGCTAAAGAAAACCCTTATGGCGAGGATGACAATAAGAGCCCATTCCCCCTGCAGCCCAAAAACAAGCGCAGTTATGCCCAGAATGTGACTGTCTGGATCAAACCCAGTGGCCTGCAGGTAACCTTACCATTTACGTTGCTTTCCACTGGGGGAGACAGGAGGCATTTGGGTAGGCGGGCAGGCAGACATTTTATTTGATTTTCCTTTCCTTTGATACTTAGTAATTCATTTACTTCTAATGTTTGTCATTATTTCCGAAAGGGATTTGAGATGCCCTACAGCAAAACATGCATATAGCAAAATCATTTTTTACAAAATGTAGAGCATTAAGAATCCTAGAGGAAGAAGGAAGACAATTGTGCCAGGAACCCAAGGCAAAGTGACAATTTTACATGAGCATTTTGGCCCTGAACTTCCTGCTACCAAAGTCAAAATAGAAACATGTTGGGTTATATAGTTGTTCTTGTCTGAGAAAAGGAAATTTGCCAGTTTGTCTAGAGAGACATATTTTTCTGGCACTGAATTTTAGTGTGAAATTTTTCATATGGTGAGACATTGAATAACATAATTGGTATTGTCTTTAACAGTTTTGGAAAAGATGTAAAGGTCTTCATATTGGTATTTTTTCCATCCCTTCAGTAGAACCCAAGCCAAAGCATTACATTTCACAAAAACACTTTCATAGGAAGCTATGATAACACTATTATCAAGGAATGATGCTTTCAGGCAAGGTATTCAGGAACACTTCTCCTTTCATCAACAAAAAGTCATTTATACCTGTTTTAAAAGTCATTTATTGAAACTTTTTTCTCCTTTGAGCACCTTTATTTACATTAGTTCCTCCAGTAAGTTCAGCCTAAGCCAAATGAGAAGAGACAGGCCACTTGGACAACAAAAGTAGCTTCTGTTGACTGCACAATCTCTGAGTCCCCTTTCCCTGGAGACTGAACCACACCCTGCCAAGGCACGTGTCAGGGGCCTCTTTGTTGGAGAATTAGGGTCTTCTACTTTCCTGATGTCCCTGACCCCAGCACTTCCTTGTCAGAGAGATATTAGAACCACTTTCACCACCAGTTACAGCTGAGTTTTTCTTAAATTATAAAAAGTTTTTTGTTTGAATCTTGACTACTGTAAAAAAATTTTTTTTTGTTCCTGGGTTTTTTCTTATTTTGGTAAAATATACATAACATAAAATGTACCTTCAGCCATTTCAAGGTACTCAATTCAGTTCCATTTAGTACATTCACAATGTACCATCACCCCTATCTAGTTACAGAACATTTTAATCACTCCAAAAGGAAACCCTGTACCCATTAGAAAAGTCACTCCACATTCCTCCCTTCTTCCAGGCCCTGGCAACTACTAATTTGCTGTCTGTCTCTATGGACTTACCTATTCTAGGTATTTCATGTAAACAGAATCATACAATTTGTGGCCTTTTGTGTTTGACTTCTTATACTTATTATAATGTTTTCAAGGTTAATTAACGTTGTAGTATGTATCAGTACTTTGTTCCTTTTTATGGGTACTATTTCATGTATGTATGTTGATGGACATAATGTTACCATTTGGCTATTGTGTGTAATGCTGTTATGAACATTCATATATAAGTTTTTGTCTGAATTTTTTTTTAATACTCTTGGGTGTATATATATTTAGTAATGGGAATGGGATTGCTGGGTCAGACAGTAATTCTGTTTAACTTATTGAAGAATTGACCCACTCTTTCATAGCAGCTGCACCATTTTGCATTCCTGCCAACAGTGTATAAGTGTTCTAGTTTCTCCATGTTCCTACCAATACTAGTTTTCCATTTATTATTACTATTATCATATAGCTATCATAGTGGGTGTGAAGTGGTATGTCTTAATGTTTTTTCATTTCTTTAATAACTAGTAATGTGTATCTCTTCCTGTGCTTATTGGCCATTTGTATATATTATTTGGAGAAGAATATACTCAAGTTCTTTGTCCATTTTTTAATTGGGTTTGTCTTTTTGTTGTTGAGGTTTTTTAAAATATATTCTGGATAGTAAGACCCTTAGCAGATACAAGATTTGCAAATATCTTCTCCCATTTTGTGAGTTATCATTTCAATCTCTTTATAGTGTCCTTTGATACACAGAGTTTTTTGTTTTGATGAAGTCACATTTTGTTTTTTGCTTTTGTTGTTTGTGCTTTTTGCTGTCTTAACTGAGAGATCATTGCCAAATCCAAAGTCATGAAGATTTATCCCGTATGTTTCCTTTTTCTTCTCCCCTGCCCCCGCACTTGAGAAAAGCATCTCACTATGTTGCTAAGATTGGTCTCAAACTTCTGGCCTCAAGCAATTCTGAGTAGCTGGGATTACTGGGGCACACCACTGCACCTGGTTCCTGTTTTCTTCTGAGTTTCATGGTTTTAGCTCTTACTTGTAGGTCTCTGATCCTTGTTAATTTTTTGTGTATGGTATGATGTAAGAGTCCAAATTTGTTCTTTTGCATGTGGATATCCAGTTGTCTCAGCACCAAATGTTGAAAAGACTGTTTTTCCCCATTGAATGGTCTTTGCAAAAAAGCCCCTGGCAATAGTTGTATGGTTTAGTAGGTACAGTTTTATGAGGCAAGTTCATTTCTGTGAGGGGATTTCTTTTATTGTCAAGCCTTTTGAAGGAGGGAGTGCTTTACTAATGTTGACCTGACAGTAACTCAGAAGGGATCCTCATCTTGACATTGTAGCTCTGCTCTCATTTTCATTTCTTTAAACATTTAGATGCTTTTTCAAATATTATTTGCCCTTTTTTTACCACAGAATTCTAATGTTGGATTTTTTTTACCTTTAATAGACAGATGTACAGAAGATTTTGAGAAATGCAAGGAAACTACCTGAAAAAACACAGACATTCTACAAGGTGAGACTGTCAGAATATAGTGGAAGTTGTGCCCAAAATACATAGTTGACGGTAGTAAAACTGCAGAATGGCAGCGTGAATATGGACAGGCATTAGAGATGTATGACTTGTGCCTCAGTTTGTTCAAATAAACTCAGTATGGCTGGGCACGGTGGCTCACACCTGTAATCCCAGCACTTTGGCAGGTCAAGGCGGGCAGATCACAAGGTCAGGAGATCCAGACCATCGTCGCCAACATGGTGAAAGCCCATCTCTACTAAAAAATACAAAAATTAGCTAGGTGTGATGGCACGTGCCTGTAGTCCCAGCTACTTAGGAGGCTGAGGCAGGAGAATTGCTTGAACCCAGGAGGCAGAGGTTGCAGTGAGCTGAGATTGCGCCACTGTACTCCAGCCTGGCGCCTGGCAACAGAGCAAGACCTTGTCTTAAAAAATAAATAAATAAATAAAAATAAACTCAGTATAAGTGATAGGTCTGTTCCTTCCCTAAAATCCAAGAATTGTAAGGGTTTAAATGGCTTCATTCTGTATAGGAGGACGGTTTTTCTGTTGGGACTACTGTGAATGAATGGCTGAAGGAAGCAGCTGAGAGGACCTGTGGGTCATAATCCTGAAGTTTCCTTATCACTCCTAAATGGGTTTCCAGGCCAACCCAGGCAACCAAGTATATGGCTTCCCGGATGGGAAATTGCTCAGAACATTTTTTTTTCTTTTTTTTTTGAGATGGAATCTCGTTCTGTCGCCCAGGCTAGAGTGTTGTGGTGTGATCTTGGATCACTGTAACCTCCACCTCACGGGTTCAAGTGATTCACCTGCCTCAGCCTCCTGAGTAGCTGGTACTACAGGCACATGCCACCACACACAGCTAATTTTTGTATTTTTAGTAGAGATGGGGTTTCGCTATGTTGGCAAGGTTGGTCTCGAACTCCTGACCTCGGGTGATCCACCCACCTCAGCCTCCCAAAGTGCTGGAATTACAAGTGTGAGCCACCCTGCCTGGCCAGTCCAGAACATTCTTATTGCACCAGAGAATCTGCTTCTAGGAATGACGTCTAAAATTACACATTTATGAATTGCAGAGGAGATGGCCCTCCAGAATCATGCGTCGCTAATCCAGAACCATTGGTGAAAAAACTATTAAGTTACAGGGTAGAGTGGGGAACATTTAGGTTTGCTCCTTGATTCTCCCCTATTTTGGTGTTTGGCTGGAATTAAGTGCAGCATAAAGTATGTCATTTGTGTCCTAGCTTTGTAATTCTAAAATATGTCACAGCCATCCTCAGGCTAGCATCTTAACTGGAGAAGATACATGTGCGACTTTGTCTGGGTGTTACCTCATTACCTTTATGTCACTGTTGTCTTCAAACGTAATAAGCTGGTGAAATAAAACAGCTTTAATCAGAGTCCAACCGAAGAGCTTCTCAGCTAGCCAGGCCCCTCCCTAACTGAAGCCCGTAATCCACACAGTCCATCCTCCCTGCAGAGCTTTTGAGTCATCAGTTATTTACTCATGATGACACACTTGTTTGGCCTTCTTCTGAACTTTCCACTATTTTTAACAGATGATAGTATAAAGATGGTCAGAGAGCCCATTTCTCTTTTCTGATTTTATATTACTTCTACATATTAGAGCTGCAAAGGGCCCAGGGAAACTGACTGCTTCAGCCCCTGCAGTGGGCAAGGAAGGGGTTATTCTGATTTGATTTGATTTGATTTGATATATATATATATTTTTTTTTTTTTTACATGGAGTCTTGCTCTGTCGCCAGGCTGGAGTGCAGTGACGCAATCTCAGCTCTCTGCAGCCTCTGCCTCCCAGGTTCAAGCGATTCTCCTGCCTCAGCCTCGCAAGTAGCTGGGATTACAGGCATGTGCCACCACGCCTAGCTAATTTTTCTATTTTTTTTTTTTTTTTTTTTTTTTTTGAGACGGAGTTTCGCTCTTGTTACCCAGGCTGGAGTGCAATGGCGCGATCTCAGCTCACCGCAACCTCCACCTCCTGGGTTCAGGCAATTCTCCCGCCTCAGCCTCCTGAGTAGCTGGGATTACAGGCACGTGCCACCATGCCCAGCTAATTTTTTGCACTTTTAGTAGAGACGGGGATTCACCATGTTGACCAGGATGGTCTTGATCTCTCGACCTCGTGATCCACCCGCCTCGGCCTCCCAAAGTGCTGGGATTACAGGCTTGAGCCACCGCGCCTGGCTAATTTTTCTATTTTTAGTAGCGATGGGATTTCATCATGTTGGCCAGGATGGTCTCGATCTCTTGATCTTGTGATCCACCCTACTCAGTCTCCAAAAGTGCTGGGATTACAGGTGTGAGCCACTGTGCCTGGCCCATTCTCATTTTATAAATGAATGAGGCCTTTGAGACCCAGAGAAGCTACACAACTTGCCCAGATCACTCCACTAAGGGGTTGTTGGGGCACTTCCTATTTCTCTGCTTCTATCACTAACCAACCTTCCATTTTGCCAGTCTTTCCACTGCCTCTGAGCCTGTTTATTGTCTTAGTCTGAGGCCCTGCCACAGTGACATCAGAGGGTTAAGAGACTTTTGAGATTGAGGGCAAGTCTTTTCCATACCTAAATAATTGGGGAAAAGTACTCCTCCATAAAGTTAGGAGTAATGAAATGATGGATACAAAGTGCTGACCACCACGTGTGGCATAAATGCTCATTAACTGTGATGATTACTTGTGTTTAGTCAGCTCACTGTCTTCCTTTGCCATCTTCTGGTCATCTGTAGAGGAACCACTTCCCAGTTATACCATCACATTCTTGTTACTGGCATCCCTGAATAAACGTGTTCTCATATAAAATTGCTCCCAAAACCAAAAACACAACAAAAAATAAAAGAAAAATTGTTCCCTAAAGTTCAGTCAAGGAGAACTTATTCTCAGCTGAGCACTTAGAAAGTATGTGTTGAGAACACATTTCAGGAGCATTGATGATTTTCTGTCTCAGGAGCTGAACCGTTTACGAAAGGCCGCTCTAGCCTTTGGTTTCCTGGACCTGCTGAAAGGGGTGGCTGACATGCTGGAAAGGGAATGCACACTGCTGCCCGAAACAGCCCATCCCGATGCTGCATTCCAGCTGACCCATGCTGCCCAGCAGCTCAAGCTGGCCAGTACCGGCACCTGTGAGTATGCCGCTTATGACCAGAACATCACACCTTTGCATACAGACTTCTCTGGGAGCAGCACTGAAAGAATGTGAAACTGACTTTTGGAGCTTTCCTTTTTTCATTTCAACTGAAAATGATTTAGAGTAAAAACCTTTCCAGTATGTTCACCTCTGGGATAGCCACCCAAAGACCTTCCTGAGGCTGCCTCAGAAGTACCACTTGCTGTTTTGAATGACTCCACTAGCAATGAGAAGGATGTGAAGGTGGTTGGCTGATTGGGCTTTAACTTCTTGGGACTCACAATTTTTAAGCTCAGAAGATAACTGCTGTTCCCATGATGGGCACATTTCCTGAGAATCTTGAAGGGCTGATGCAGCATAGAATACCCCTGTCTTCCTCAGGAAACCTGACCAGCAAGGGCTCTCTGGCTTTCTGAAAGCTTCACTTGTTCTCTCCAGTTTCTATCTCAACTGTTAAGGGCATATTCAAGCTTCTGTTCATGGAATGAGCAACTCAGACTGTCCGGAGGTTGCTGAGTACAAACACACCACCACTTTCAGAACTTTCCTCAGAACTTGGGCAAAATGTGGTGGTAATTCTTAAGATGCTTTTGGTATCTCTTGAGATTCTAACTTTTAAAGGGCAACCATTAATGTGTAAAATGAGTCCTGTTTCTTCAAGGATTTTTTTTTTTATGATAATATTTTATTTTCCATTAAAATGGTTTCACTGTGAAACTAAGGGTCCTTTTTCTTTTGGTCTGTCCTATTACTTGAATATAATTTCAACTTCCTAAGTGGCATAGATTCTTAAATAATGAGGTTTCCTTATTTCTGACACTGATTGATTCCTCATTGCCTAAGCAAGGTTCTGGTTAGATAATCCTGACAGATCACCAATTCCAAAGTTAGTTATGGTTCCAATTTATCAGCTAGCTTTATGACACTGGGCAACTACCTGAGGCTTTATCTGCATCATCACTGTTTTTCAGCTGCACCACCTTCCGTGTAAATCTCATGTTTCAACCAAAGCAACTGTTTTTGGTTTAACATGCTGATTGCTACATAATATTTTGCCTGAACACAGGACTTTATCACTAACAGAAAAGCATTAGACTAAATTATCTTTAAGCACAGTTATTAGAATTTGATTGTAAATGTTTTACTGGAAATACACAATTGTTCACTTTTTCAAACAGCAATAAAGGGGTTTGTAACAATAACTAAGAATACAGAATTTTGCCACAAGGATGCAGCATAATCTACTGCAAAGCTGATCTGCCCAATTACACATAGCTGCAAGAATACCAGAAATCGACACAAACAAGTATTGACAGGTGTTACAGACATGCAAAATATCCTTCAATGCAACAATTTTTTAAGAAATCAGCCAGCCTATGTTAACAGATGTTTTAGTTAAAGTTTCCATGTTGGGCTCAGTGACATAGTATTAACTCACTGAGACTCCTTTCCCCCAGGAATGTTGAGAATGGCAGAACTGAAAGAGTTATCACTCCTTAAATTCTTTCATGCAAGCGTTACTCCAACACTTATTTTACTTGGTTTACTTGGAATGTATGAGGGGGAAACTGATGTTTTTTACAGTGGCCAACCGTATGTCTAAATTTTCACTTCTCCTTTTTTCGAGTTTCCTGCCAGAAATCCTTGTTAAAGGATCAGCAGGTGTTCACCCCAAAGTTCTCGCTGTTTTCAGTGTCCTACTGCAGATGGGTTTAAAAAACCAACTGAACAGCAGCAGAATGAAAAGTGTTTTTGAGGTCTATTCAAAAATGTACAGTGCTACCACTCACTCGAACAGGTATACAAGTAAATGGACTCAGCCAGTGCGGGGAGATGGAAGGCTGCCATTTTGTATGTCTGTGAACAGCTTATGGACTCGGCCAGTGCGGGAGACGGAAGGCTGCCATTTTGTATGTCTGTGAACAGCTTAAGACAGTTTGGAGGTGTGTTTGGCCTACTCTAATGTTTCTAGTTTGTCAAAGGCTGTAAGCTGTGTTACTGCCACTTTGATCTAAATATTTGTGTTCCCTTTGCATCCCTGCTACCATTTGGACCTCGTGTTGTGTGTGTGTGTGGTTTGGTTTGGTTGAGATAGGGTCTTGTACTATCACCCCAGCTGCAGTGCAGTGGCACAATCTTGGCTCACTGCAGCCTTGACCTCCTGGGCTCAGGATCTTCCCATCTCAACCTCCTGAATAGCTGGGACTACAAGTATGTGCCACCACAGCCGGCTAATTTTTTAATTTTTTATAGAGATAGGGGTCTCACTATGTTGCCCAGGCTGGTCTTGAACTACTGGCTGCAACTGATGCTCCCACCTCGGTGTCCCAAAGTGCTGGGATTACAGGTGTGAGCCACATTCCTGGCTGAATTTGGAACTTGTAATTTCATTGTTTTATAAATAACAGTTCGTTTTTCTTCAGTGTTGAAAAAATAGTTGATTTACTTAAAAATGGCATGATCATGATGTTCCAAGATTCTGATTAGTTTCTTTCAAAGCGTTCTGTGCCTCTTCAATGCCCACACTGCTGAATACTATAGTAATAGATGTTAGGCCAAAGGATGTCAGATGTAAAACATGTTCTCTAGCCCCACTCTTAGAAATGTTTTATCAATGACTCAGTCTACTTCATTTTCAAAAAGTCAGTGCTATCCCACTAAACAAGGAACCCCTTAGGTACGAATAATTAAGTCCTGCCTGAGTCACTTTAACAGCCTTTTATAGAGTGATATAGTCTTGCTTTTTTTCACAAGCAATAGCTGAAAAGAACAAATCTCAACTATAAGAACTGTCAATACACTGTAGGGATAAAGCACTTTTTGAAAAAAATATCTGGCATGTATTACACAGACTGAACATGAGCTAGAGTTGGGGTGGGCTGAGCCTTTTGCTGTCATTAACTGAATACACAAGAATGAACCTCATCAGATATCAGGAATCCATGTCATGCAAGTACTACAATAAGATAACAATAAATTCAGGAATGCTACTGGGGAAAAGGAAGATAGCCTCACTGAGGATTTCATCATTTAACATTAAAAAAACTTTTACATTGGTACAACAAGGTAAAACTGTAAGAATCAGATTAGGCCCAAACTGGCAAGAAGCCACTAAATCTTTCTTTTTAGGTGACCTTTTTCTTTTTTTGTCCATAGCGCCGTCTGCGCTGTTTATAAAGGTGACGAAAATTTATGTATAAACCTGAAAAAGAGAAGAGGCGGATTAGAAATTAGAGTCTTTGTCTATTTATAACCAGAAGCTCTTGTGGGAGGGACAGTTATCTAGCTGTCATATCCTACAGCAAAAAGCTATTGCAGCAGCTCAGGAAGGAATACAACTTATAACCAATTAACAACGCAATACACGCAACCCAGCTTTTCCCCAATGGGTTTGTTTGTTTATTTATTTTTTTGTGACAGGGCCTCACTCCATCACCCAGGCTGGAGTGCAGGGGCACGATCTCAGCTCACTGCAACCTCTGCTTCCCAGGTTCAAGTGATCCTCCACCACCATGCCCAGCTAATTTTTTGTGTTTTTAGTAGAGATGGGGGTTTCACCATGTGGCCAGGCTAGTCTTGAACTCCTGACCTTGTGATCCACCAACCTTGGCCTCCCAAAGTGCTGGGATTGCAGGCATGAGCCACTGCACCCAGCCAAGAAATATCTTATGGTATATTCCCAATCACCAAGGGCACTTAAAGAGATTTAACTGCTGGAGATTTAGAAAAGAAATATTTCCTTACCATAGCATATTCCCCTAGTGGGTCTCTTTTTGCAAAGTAATCATTCTCTAATTCTATCCTACTCTTCTGGAAAAAAATAATTCTTATATGGACTTTTAATTTCTGAATGATTTAATTCTACTCTCTAAGAAGTGACAAGAAAAGTCTGTGCGACAGAGTCAATACTTACCTAAAAATATCATTATAAGATAAATCTGAAGAAAAAAGGAAAATCTAACTTTGATTTTCACTGGATATGGCAATGTGAAACTGAATCGTCCCGTCTCATTGAATATTGGAATGGACTGAATCACTGAGACAGCTGAAAACAGAAACAATAACTTGTTAGAAGCAAATTCAACAGTCACACCTAATGACAGGACCTTCCAGCCCCTAGTATTCTAAAGTTTCGGTTCTGGGTTTGCTGGAAAGGCTTCCTCCTCCCTTTGTACAGAAAGCTCATGCCTCTTCTTTTTCTCGCCTAGTTTTCTAAGAGATCAACCTCCAGCCTATCAACAGAGAGACAGATGAGGAAGTCATGGCAGTGGGCTTCTTCTATTCTATAAAATGGAGAGAAAAATCCCTAGCTGACTTATGAGATATTTGTCAGAATAAAATAAAGTGGTCAGTAAGAACTCCCTTTGGAATACTAAAAGTATCATATAAACGGGAAGCAGGCAGGACGTGACCACCTGGCTTACCAATGTTACAAAATGAGCTACTTTTCTGAAATAGAAAACAGGAGTATTATGGAAGGAAGCCCATAGAAAGAAATCCCTGAAAAGTTCAACACTTCCATTTATCAGACTAAGGCTGGTGGTGGGGGGAAGAAAGGACTGGTCTTTCAGCCTCTGGGCACCCCCTGGAGCTAAGCTATAAAAGCTAAGAGTCCCTGAGAGTACCTTCCGCCAAACATCCCAGTGGATATACGGGAATCCACACAGTGTAACGAAGCCATGTGACCACCTTCCAATCCATGTCAACGCACGTTAGCATGTAGAAGGGGTACCTATTGAAAATAAATGATTCAAAAAAAAAAAAAAAGAAATGAAATGAAATGATTCTAACGTGAAAACCCACTTCAGGTTCTGAACGCAACCTCAGAATGTCATTTAAATACAAGAATTATATTTCTCAGCCACATATGGCTTCTAAAGAACAAAACTGTAATGCTGGCTATCCACCCATAAACTCCCGTCATGCTACACCCTAAATTTTCAAAGGATGTGAACTCTCTTTAATGGCAGACTAAGTTTAGGTCTTAAAGGAACCTGCAGTATATGGACTGGATACTCAGATGTTTTTTGGCTTTATTCTGAATTTTCATCTATATTCCCACTGGGTAAGGATATTAGGTACTTTATTTCTGGATAAATGAGTTACTACCAAAATTAAAGTATACAAAAGACCTCTAATCTAGAATCAGACATACTCTATTTTAAAAGACATCCCATAAGAAAATAAATATTTCTTCTCAAACAGTAAACATTAACATTAAAGACCTATAATCTGATCCTTTTGTAGCTCCTAAGCATGGTAATTGGATTTTTACGCTCATGTGTCAGATGTGCTTCCCTCAAACCTTGTTACATTAGCACATTATTTGTCTGATTTTAAAAGCATAATCTGTTTTACCTTTGTATTAAGGTATTAGAGGGTACACTGGGTGCCATGGGACATAGACCATGGTTAAGACACAATTTAAGGCTGCTATGGCCTGTTCCCCCTCTCAACTAGCAACTTTGTCAAAATACCACCAAACCTGGAGCTAGGAGTTCCTTTGCAAAATCCTTGCTCCAGCTGACTGAAAGGGAAGAAATACAGAGTATGTGTGGTCTGGTAAAGAAGAATACATCTACTTTAACTGGATCCATTTCTAAAAAGATACTTATTCTACTAACAACTGAGAATGGGAAAATTAGGTCAGAGGCCATTTCAAACTTCATTAGTCTTGTAGTATAAAAGTCATTTCTATCACCCCTTGTAGAAAGTGAGTCTCAAACTAGATCTGTCCAACCTGGATTGCTACTTCAACCTCATGTTTCTTCAGCCCTTTCAAGAATTTTTCCCTGTGGATGGGTCCTCTCTTTCCAAGGCTGCAAGATCCTGAAGTCATGGTAAGATGAGTCTTCCCTTTCGCTGGTTCTCCCCTTCTGCTCCCTAGTATCCAATCTGGTATTATGATCCAACGATAGCTTTAAAAAAATCTGCTGGCTGGACATGGTGGCTCACGCATATAATCCCAGTACTCTGCGAGACCAAGGTAGGCAGATCACGAGGTCAGGAGTTTAAGACCAGCCTGGCCAACACGGTGAAACCCCACATCTACTAAAAACGCAAAAATTAGCTGGGCATGGTGGTGCACACCTATAATCCCCAGCTACTTGGGAGGCTGAGGCAGGGAGAACTGCTTGAACCCAAGAGGCAGAGGTTGCAGTGAGCTGAGATCACAACACTGCACTCCGGCCTGGGCAACAGATCAAGACTGTCTCAAAAAAAAAAAAAAAAAAAAAAAAAAGTGCCTCAACTTTGCAGAGCACATAGGTGCAACCAGAATTCTCCACATATGTAATTTTAGTCCCAAACCAAATGAGACTTCGGCTAAGACAGCAACTCCTTCAAGAACAGAGCTGCTGCAAAGAAGGAGATGCATTCAAGCACTGCCCTGGCACTTCTACCTACCTGAAAATTTCAACTATGCTCCACAGATAAAACACAAAGAAAACCACAGCTTTGTTTTGCATTTCTTCCATAGTGCCAATGACGATAAACAAAATAAAATTTCTTCCAAGAAGCTATTAGAAAGACCCAAAAGAGAGAAAAAAGTTAATAAAATATATGTAAAGGTATATAAATGTGCTATGTAAAATGTAACACCACTAAATGCAAGGAAAATAAAAAAGATTGAGCTCGACCAGTTTAATCCTACTCCAGTTTTGGAAGAAGTAAAGGGCCCAAACCAGTCTTTGTGACTAGACAGGTATGGTATTTTGTGTGTGTAAATATATTATAAATCATTTATTTAAAATACGCACACGTGTTCAAACACAGTCTAAAGAATACTGCCAAATAAACATTTGGGTTTACATAACCCATGTTAAGCAATAGAGCACTACTAGTGTGAGACCCCTGTAAGTAAAATCACTGCATATTTTTCTTTTCTTTTTTTGAGACAGAGTCTCACTCTCTCACCCAGGCTGTAATGCAGTGGCACAATCATGGTGCATTGCAGCCTTGAACTTCTGGGCTCAAGCAATCCTCCCAATTCAGCCTCTCAAGTAGATTGAATCCCAAAGTGCTGGGATCACAGGTATGTGCTACCACACTGGCTAATTTAATTTTTTTATAGAGACAGGGTCTCACTATGTTGGCCAGGCTGGTCGCAAACTCTTGGGCTCAAGTGATCCTCTCGCCTCAGCCTCCCAGAGTGCTGGGATTATAGGCATGAGCCACTGCACACAGCCCATGGCTTCTCTTTATAGGTTACTGCTTACGTATGTATTCCTGAACAGTAGATTGTTTCATTTTGCCTGTTTTAAAACTTTTGGAAATCATTCTATATGTATTATTCTGTGACTTGCTTCTTACTCAGGGTTATGGTCCAGAGACTCATTTATGTTGATGCACATGGCTATAGTCCACTCACTTTCACCGTGGCAAGACATTTCAATATACGATAGACATTCTATTCTTCATAGATATCTGGGTTGTCTGTTTCTGAGTTTTATTCTATTCCAGTGGTCTATGTGACTATCTTTGTACCATATAATGTGGTATTAGCTACTAAATCCTTATACTGTCTTGATTTCTCATAGGGTAAGTCCCTAACTTGAGCTCTTCTTTAGAGAATATTCCTGGCCCCCCTTTTTCCCCCCTATTTAAAAAACTGTGGTAAAATACACATTAACAGCCAGGCACAGTGGCTCACGCCTGTAATCCCAGCATTTTGGGAGGCCAAGGTGACCAGCCTGGCCAACATGGCAAAACTCCATTTCTGCTAAAAATACAAAAATTAGCTAGACATGGTGGCAGATGCCTGTAGTCCTACCTATTCAGGAGGCTGAGGCAGGAAAATCACTTGAATGCAGGAGGTGGAGGTTGCAGTGAACTGAGACTGCACCACTGCACTACAGCCTGAGTGACAGAGTGAAACTCTGTCTCCAAAAAAGAAAAAAAAAAATACACATAACATAAAATTTACCATCTTAATCATTTTTAACTGTTGAGCGGTATCAAATACATTCATAATGTTGCACAACCATAATCACCAGCCATCTCCACAACTCTTTTCATCTTGTAAAACAGAAACTATGACCCATTAAATAATAACTCCCTGTTTAGCCAGCCCCTGTGAAACACCATTCTACTTTCTGTCTCTGATTTTGACTATTTTAAGTACTTCATGTAAGCAGAATCATCCAGTATTTGACTTTCTGTGACTGGCTTATTTCACTTAGCATAGTTTCCTTAAGGCTTATCCATATTGTAGCATACATCAGAATTTCCTTCATTTTTAAGTCTACATAATATCCCACTGCATGTCCATTCATCTATAGAGGGACACTTGGGTTGCTTGCACACTTTAGCTATTGAAAATGATGCTCCTATCCTGGCTGGTCCTGTTTTTTCAAAAAAACTTCAGAATTTTCTCACATTCCAAAATGTTTTAGACTATTTAGATTAGAATTGTATTTAATCTACAGGTAAATATGAGAACTAACAATATTATAGTATTGAATCTTATAATTCAAGAAAATTATGTCTATATACTTACTTTTTGTGCTCTCAATTCCTTCCTGTATCTCAAACAGTTCACTAATTTTCTCTTTATCTAATCTACTGGCCGGGCGCGGTGGCTCAAGCCTGTAATCCCAGCACTTTGGGAGGCCAAGGCGGGTGGATCACGAGGTCGAGAGATCGAGACCATCCTGGTCAACATGGTGAAACCCCGTCTCTACTAAAAATACAAAAAATTAGCTGGGCATGGTGGCGTGTGCCTGTAATCCCAGCTACTCAGGAGGCTGAGGCAGGAGAATTGCCTGAACCCGGGAGGCGGAGGTTGCGGTGAGCCGAGATCGTGCCATTGCACTCCAGCCTGGGTAACAAGAGCGAAACTCCGTCTCAAAAAAAAAAAAAAAAAAAAAAAAGATATCTAATCTACTACACAAACTATCCATTAAATTTTTATTTATTTATTTTTAGAAACAGGGGTCTTGCCCTGTTGCCCAGGTTGGAGGGCAGTGACATGATCACAGCTCACTGCAACATCGAACTCCTGCACTCAAGGAATCCTTCTGTCTCAGCCTCCCAAGTAGTGGGAATACAGGTACACACCACCATGTCTGGCTTTGATTTTTATTTTTTTAAGGGTCTCACTATGCTGTCCAGGCTGGTCTCAAACTGCTGGCCTCAAGCAATCCTCCTGCCTCAGCTTCCCAAAGTGTGGGGATTACAGGCATGAGCAACCAAGCCTGGCTGTAAACTTTAAAGTTGAGTTACTGTACTTTTCATTAATAAAAGTTTTTAAGAAGTACTGCCTTCATCTACAAAAGGTGGGAGGAGACCAAGTACATTTCTTTTTTTTTTTTTGAGACGGAGTTTCGCTCTTGTTACCCAGGCTGGAATGCAACGGCAGGATCTTGGCTCAACGCAGCCTCCGCCTCCTGGGTTCAGGCAATTCTCCTGCCTCAGCCTCCTGAGTAGCTGGGATTACAGGCACGTGCCACCTTGCCCAGCTAATGTTTTGTATTTTTAGTAGAGACGGGGTTTCACCATGTTGACCAGGATGGTCTCGATCTCTCGACCTCGTGATCCACCTGCCTTGACCTCCCAAAGTGCTGGGATTACAGGCTTGAGCCACCGCGCCCGGCCTGACCAGGTACATTTTCTGACTAAGGAGACTGAAGGTAGATTTTTCTGCTCCTGCCCAAGAATCAAATTTCCCTAGTCTTAAAGCTCTTTATAACTTTGTAATTTCATGAGGATATTATAAAAAATGAAATACACTTGAAACAGTAAAAGTCTACTTTGGTAAATATCCCTGGGGTTCTAAGTGTTCTTTCTTGTTCAGGTAAAATAATGCTATTCCTGTACAAATAGGTGTTTTTACTAATTGAGTCTTCTTAGCAAAATGTAACATACAGATACGGTTTGGCTATGTTCCCATTCAAATCTCAACTTGAATTGTATCTCCCGGAATTCCCACATGTATGGGAGGGACCCGGGGGAAGTAACTGAATCATGAGGGCCAGTCTTTCCCATGCTATTCTCATGATAGTAAATAAGTCTCATGAGATCTGATGGGTTTATCAGGGGTTTCTGCTTTTGCTTCTACCTCATTCTCTCTTGCCACCACCATGTAAGAAGTGCCTTTCACCCCGCGCCATGGCTGTGAGACCTTCCCCAGCCACGTGGAACTGTAAATCCAATTAAACCTCTTTCTTTTGTAAATTGCCCAGTCTTGGGTATGTCTTTATGAGCAGCATGAAAACAGACTAATACATATACCTACTAGACAAATAATGGGACCTTCCATTACCCACTCTTCAGCTCAACTATTCAATACCTGGATCAGAGAAGGCAGTAGTGGTGACGAAGTAACTCCAATTGCTGCATTGATGGTTTCCACAACTGCCAGCATCTGGCAGAAATACATCATGTCAGCCACAGTATGGAATGTGTCATAAAAGGACTCTATGGGCACAAATACACATTAAGGGTGAATCAGATGGTAAATTCCAACAGAATTATTTCTCAAATTAGATCACTCCTTTCATGAAAATAACTGTAAGAAAGAAGTAACAAACATCCAGTCAGATTCGAGTTTCTTACTTAGCAGGAAAAGTTCAGGCCACTGGGGTCAGGAATAGTAAATTCTACCAGTTACCACAACATTCACATGTAAACCTTACATGCCTTTCTCATTTTTTTTAAGAGTCAAGGTCTTGCTCCATCACCCAGTCTGGGGTGCAGTGTCGTGACCATGGCTCACTGTGGCCTTAACCTCCTGGGCTCAAGAGATCCTCCCACTTCGGCCTCTTAAAGTGCTAGAATTACAGGCCTGAGCTACTACACCTGGTCCATACTTTCATTATCAGAAAAATCCTCTCCCATTACTCTTTCTTCTCCTAAGTTTTATTACCTATTTATTCATCAAATAAAATTTCAGAATATTTTAGATCAAATTCTCAAAAATTTCCCATTGGCATTTACCAATGGAATACCACTGGTCAGAGCCATAATTCTGTTAAACACATAAATTAATTGAAGAAGAACTAATATCTTTATGATATTATTTTAATTCTGTTTAAGAATAGTTCATTTTAGAACCTATTTAGCCTCCAAAAGGGTGAGAATTCTTTTGGCCTTGCATAACTTTGGCACTGGAAGTATCATATCAATTTATTTAGTGGTTACTGAACTATCAAGTAGTGAAAAAAACGAAAGGATTCTATCCCAAGATGTGGCTCTAGCTAGCTATGAATGTGAACCATTTTTGACCATCTCTAGGCCTGTTTTCTTACCTGTTAAATGGAAAGAATACCAGTCAGCTTATTTCACAAGGTCATGGGAAATAAGAGGTATGAAAGCACACCAAAAATCAGGGGGTGCTGCACAAAAGTGGCGGTTATTATTACCCTCAAAGGCAGAGAGTACTACTCCCTTTGGTGAGTACTGGGCCAAACTACTGAGAAAGGGAACATTAATCCTCAAATTTCTTACTTGCCTTTTCCCAAGATACAAAATCGCACAGTCAGGTTGACAAAGATCCAGGAGAATCCCAAGAATTGCACAAGATTATACATAAACAGGTATCCTTTCCTTAAGTTTGCAAGAGCTGTAAAGCAAAGCAAAGCAGTAAGCTATTAAAAGCAATAGTCCCAGCAGGAGAGAGGTATATGAGGCATATCTGGATGACTTCAACCCTTTTCCTTCCTGAGCGCTCCTAAGCTCCCATACAAATACCCGATCCAGGTCCTTACCAGCCTGGGCTCCCACTCCCATAGAGAAACATATGAGGAACATTGCTCTCCAGTGTGTATTTTCAGCAGTCCTTCTTTTCCCCAGCCTTGAAGGATAGGTATACAGACATAAGAAACCCATGAAAGAAATACTACTCCTGGTGTGATATTAGAGAGAGAGAGAGAGAGAGAGAGAGAGAGAGAGAGCGTGTGTGTGTGTGTGTGTGTCTGTGTCTGTGTGTTTTCACCCATGGTTTCTGACTCATAACTCCCACAGCCCTTGTTACATACAGTCTTTTGTTAATACTGTTGGGACAATTTAGGCCTTGTTACAGTCTTTTGTTATACTGTTGGGACAATTCTGTTTTCTGAGGCCTAAATTGTCCCAACAGTATAACAAAACAGAAAGCCACAGAATGCCTCTATGGCCTTCCCCTGCCTTCGTTTCAGATGCCCAAGGCAGGACTAATCTGATTGTGGGTCCTAAGACCCTCATTCCAGAGAGGATCCTGCCTCATACTCTGGAGGAGGGAATACTGCACAGAGAGGCTGAGAAGAATCTTAATAGACAGGCCTTGCTGGATTTAGATCAGACCCTTTTTGTCCAATCACATTTCAACACAGTTCAACATGGTTCAATCATGCCTATCCGATGAAGTTTCCATAAAAGGCCCAAGGGGACAAGGTTTAGTCAGTTCCAGATAGCTGAACACATGAAGGTTCCTGGTGGGTAGCACACCTGGGGAGGGCACAGAAGCTCCACACCACTTCCTCCATCCTTTGTCCTAATCTCTTCATCTGTAACCTTCATAATGTCCTTTATAATAAACCAGCAAATGCTTTCCCTGAGTTCTGTGGAGCCACGCTAGCAAATCAATCAAACCCCAGGAGCGGGTTATGGGAACTGTGATTTATAGCCTATCGGTCAGAAGTTCTGGAGGCCCAGACTCAGGACAGACATCTAAAGTTGGGGGCAGGGAGATATCTTGGGAACTCAGCCCTCCATCTGTGGGAATCTGATGCTATCTCTGCCTAGATAGTGTCAGAATTGAATCAGAGGGCACCCAGCTGGTGTCTGCTGCAGAACTGACTGCTTGTTTGGTGTGTGGGGGAAAAAACCCACACACACCCACACACTTGGTCACAGAAGTCTTCTGTGTTGATTGTTTTTGAGTGAGAAAGTAGAAAAAAGCAGATGAGTGTTTATTTTTTCCATAACACCTGGCAAAAAAAAATGAGTGGCCATCTGAAGAGGCATTACAAAAAGGAAATAAAGATTTCCTCAGCTCCTACTCCCGTCACTTTTTTTTTTTTTTGAGACGAAGTCTCACTCTGTCACCCAGGCTGGAATGCAGTAGCACGAGCTGGGCTCACTACAACCTCCACCTCCCAGGTTCACACAATTCTCCTGCCTCACCCTTCCAAGTACCTGGGATTACAGGTACCTGCCACCATGCCCAGCTAATTTCTATATTTTAGCAGAGATGGAGTTTCATCATGTTGGCCAGGCTGGTCTTGAACTCCTGACCTCAGGTCATCCACCCACCTCAGTCTCCCAAAGTGCTGGGGTTGCAGGCATGAGCTACCACACCTGGCCCTCCAGTCATCTTAATATAATCCATAGTTTCTTCTTTTCTGGAATTTTTTTTTTTTTTTTGAGATGGAGTTTCCCTCTTGTTGCCCAGGCTGGAGTGCAACAGCACAGTCTCAGCTCACTGCAACCTCTGCCTCCCAGGTTCAAGTGCTTCTGCCTCAGCCTCCCAAGTAGCTGGGATTACTGCATGTGCCACCATGCCTGGCTAATTTTGTATTTTTAGTAGAGGTGGGGTTTCACCATGTTAGTCAGGCTGGTCTTGAACTCCTGACCTTGGGTGATCCACCCACCTTGGCCTCCCAAAGTGCTGGGATTACAGGTGTGAGCTACCATGTCCGGCCTTTTCTGGAATTTCTTTAAGGTCACTGAGGTCAAACTAGCTCAAAGAGATATATACAGTAAATGAAAAAAACAATTCTGATATTTGGTTGTATATTCATTCAACCAAGCATTAACTGAATACCTACAATATGCAAGGTACTGTGAGGAGAACTACTGGGATAATGAAGGTAGTTCAAGGCTGCCCTCAGAGTTTACAATCTGAAATCTGTAATACCAGGTAGGGAGTGACCAGTAATGTCTTGTGAAACTTTCAAGGGGAAAAAATGACATTAGGCTGGAGAAGTGGGCATCGAGCTAGTCTACATGGATAAAGCTGGTATCTAATCTGGGCTTTATTTTTTATTTTTCTAAGACAGTGTCTCATTCTGTTGCCCAGGTTAGTATGCAGTGGTGGAACCATAGCTCTCTGCAGCCCTGACCTCCTGGGGTCAACCCATCTTCTCACCTCAGCCTCCCAAGTAGTTAGGTCTTCAGGTCTGTACCACCACACCCTGCTAATTTTATATTATTTTATATTTTGTAGAAACACAGTCTGGCTATGTTGCCCAGGCTGATCTTGAACTCCAGGCCTAAAAGATCCTCCCACCTCAGTCTCCCAAAGTGCTGGGATTATAGGCATGAGCCACCATACTTGGCCTGATCTAGGCTTTGAAAGATGGGCAGGCTGAGGGCATAACCACAGGAGGACAATTTCAAACCAACATGCAGAAAAATAATAGACATTAATTTTGTCTGCAGCCTAAGATTCATGCAGATATAGCCAATTACAGAGTAAAGGAAGAAACAAGGAGTTCTAACAGTCATGGTTGAATCAAAGGAGTAGGTTAAAAATAATTCTCAGGAGAAGATCTATGCTGTTCAGATTTTGTTGCTACATATTTATTCCTAGGCTAGAGATACTCTGCAGAGACATTTGGTTGGTCCTCAAAGAATCAAATTTAATAATGTCGTCAGTCAAAAGCAGCCTAAGCCAGGCACAGTGGCACATGCCTATAATCCCAACTACTTGGGAGGCTGAGGTAGAAGGATCACTTGAGTCCAGGAGCTCAACATCAGCCTGGACAGCATAGCAAGAACACATCTCAAACAAACAAAAAAAAGGTAGCCTTATCCTAAGACTCCAAAAAATGTCAGGTTTCTAGCAACATTTAGCTAATTAAAAGTTTCTTCTTCAAAACTAAAAAAATTATTATACTTTCCCACCATAAAGAACTTCCTTAATCAGAAAACTTTATGAATTTTGATAAAATAGTAAAAGCTTTACCTAACCAAAAAAATCCATATATTAGAATTTTTATCTATTTTTGAAGTTTATCCCTTTAAAACACCAAAAAAATTAATTTAAATCTCAAAGTGGCTGTTTTATGTTGTTATTTTTTGCCTCCACTGATCCTCTCCCCTCCTCAGCTTTTCTAAAAGAATATTCCCCTAAGGTAGTGGCTATTCAAATCTTTTTAAATCCCTTCTCAAAAAAAAACCTTATTCAGGACACCAACACATAAAACACAAAAGAATGCTGCTCTGACTGAGGTAGACCTGTTTGTGTGATCTACTCCTCCAAAGCATCTCTGAGAACCCCCTGGGGTACCATGGAAGACAGTTTGAAAACTGCTCCAAAACTTTCCCCTCCCTTATTTATGGCATGCTACATGAGTGCCATTAAAATATGAAAAAGTTCGCCGGGCGCGGTGGCTCAAGCCTGTAATCCCAGCACTTTGGGAGGCCGAGGCGGGTGGATCACGAGGTCAAGAGATCGAGACCATCCCGGTCAACATAGTGAAACCCCGTCTCTACTAAAAATACAAAAAATTAGCTGGGCATGGTGGCACGTGCCTGTAATCCCAGCTACTCAGGAGGCTGAGGCAGGAGAATTGCCTGAACCCAGGAGGCGGAGGTTGCGGTGAGCCGAGATCGCGCCATTGCACTCCAGCCTGGGTAACAAGAGCAAAACTCTGTCTCAAAAAAAAAAAAAAAAAAAAAAATGAAAAAGTTCAACTTAGAACAAATAAGGAGCACTTACTTCATTCTGCTTTTCAGAGGTAGTTTTACATAGACCTGCAGTCTTCCTACTAGAATGTAAGCCCTGTTTAGTACAGGTGCTACATGGATCCCTCTGGCTGTTCATTAAGGGCCCAGCATAATGCTTGCCATGCAACATGACTTTAACAGATAGCTGCTGAATAACTGTATCACCCAGAAGATAATACACTTACAGAGCTTCCTGCTTAAAGTGGTTAGATGGAAATAGAAATTGATTTGTTAAAGATTAATGAATAGCAGGACTACACAGAATACTCTCCATCTTTGAGGATGACAATCACACTCATGTATCATACAGCCTTTGAAATCTCAGCTGGGAGAAAAACACCAGGCTGAAGGAGTATAGCCCTGGACCCATGCAATCATTTCCACAGGTCTCTGCAGGATTTGGTTGCCATCTGCCATGAGGCCAGTCCTGGAGTTCTTTCATTCTGCTATACTAGCCTTGTTGTACTCATGATATAACACCCAAAACCAGGCGTCCCCAAACCTTTTACACAGGGGGCCAGTTTACTGTCCCTCAGACCGTTGGAGGGCCGCCACATACTGTGCTCCTCTCACTGACCACCAATGAAAGAGGTGCCCTTTCCTGAAGTGCGGCCAGGGGCCGGATAAATGGCCTCAGAGGGCCGCATGCGGCCCGCGGGCCGTAGTTTGGGGACGCCTGCCTAAAACAGAAAGGAAACATTAAAGGTAAGGCTTCTGATGTGGGTGTGCAGACCTTAAGCACTCAACCTAATGGGTTTCTCATAAACTCACCCACACAGCTCACCCGGATGAAATCACTAGCTCACCTGACATATCACAATTATCCATACTTCCAAACCGAGCACAAGCTAACTGGTAACTACTGTTGCAGCAGAGGCAACTTACTTTCAGGAGAGCCTTCGCTTTCCAGTCTGAGTTTATTCAGGCGCTCTTCTTCCTAGAATTTGGACAAAAGTTTTCCAAGAACACAAGTTAGAATTCCCAGATGTCTGTCCAAGTCCATATGCTGGTTGAGTAATCTGACTCCCTCAAAGCCACCTCCTCCAGCTGGGGTCAGTGCATCACTGGGAAAAATATCCTAGGTCATAGGACCAAATGCCTAAGTCCTCCTTACTAAGCAGCATCAGCATCACAGGATGCCTATCCGTTGTTCACAAAATTAACCCAATCAGCTGGCTTCCAAACTGACAAGTGACCTTAGAATCTTAAAGCTGGAAAGGACATCCAGAAGATCTGTCGCAATTGGAGAAATAAAACAGAAGTTTAAGGCAGGAAGCAGACTGCTATTTTATTTTTCTAGATTTTTAGTGTAAGTTTTCCAGAAGCTAAGATCATGTCTCCAACATCAGTGTGAACTCATGTTTAGCTTAAAAGAGATACAGATGGATCCATAAAGAAATATTTATGGGTGTATGTGTATGCATGGGAAATATATGCAAACATGTATTTCCTTGTTCTGTTAGTGAAGATAACCTAAAAGCAATGGAAACTTGTTAACAATGAGCATGCCTGGCACCCAGATCTTGGTTTCCAATACCATTCTACAATAAGAAGAACAGAGTTCTCTGAAGAAATAGCTGTTCTATGGCTGTAGCAGACATACATAGAAGATAAGCCTGGAGCAGCTTATAGCGCCAGAAGGGAAGGAAGTGCTAAAACAAACAAAACAAAACAGTCCCATCATAATGGAGCTTTCTCAAAAAGACACAAAAGCCAAAAGATGGGCAGGATGAGGACATAGCCAAAGGCCAGTTAGTGGCCAAAGCTGGAAGATTTGAGCAACAAAATAAATATTATTCGATTATAACTCAAAGTATAAAGTAAATATCCATGTACCCACATGATATAAATGATTGAATAAATAAGTGAATGGGAGACAACAGACATGCAGAATTATTCTCCTATGCAGAATTCCAAATAAATTATATAGATACTCCATCTGAAGGAGAGGAAGCATAACTCCCCATTCCTTAAATGTAGGCTACACATAGTGACTTCCTTTCAAGGAGTGATGAGGAAAATAATCTTACAGTGGAAAAACCTGACAAATATCACCTCAAGCCAGCTGGCCTGTGGTTAATATCAACAGTGATGTGTCATGTTGATAGCATGTACTCTTGATACAATGTGATAAGAATGGCCCTTTACCTCTGCAGTCTTCTCCTCAATATCTATCACCTTAGTCTATTTGTAAGAAAAACATCAGATTTCAACTGAGGGACAGTCTATAAAATACACAGCCAATACTTCTTGAAAATCATGTAACGAGGTCTTTAAATGAAGTTATAACTTTGTCACTATTCTTTCAGACCCTGAGAGGTTTCTCAAGTAGCCTGAATAACATGGATTCCCCATGATTTATCTTCAATGGCTAGATCCTAGCATCCTTACTAACCTTAGCTCTGAGCTCCATTTCCGCATCAGATTCATCCAGCCAACGATCAAAGTCAGGGGCCAAAAACAGTGGTCGTTTCTCCTGCTTGGTGAGTCTCTCCCACCACTGACTCACTTTCTTCTGTACCGTAATGTTTACCTGCCTTTGGGTCAGTTTGTAAATAGGCTACGAGAGAAAGTGAGAATGTGAGAATGCCCTCCTCCAGTCCCTGAAGCAGCACCATGCCAGGGGCACTGAAGCTGCAGAATATGCAGCTTCTAGTCCATGGCCTGTTAGGAACCAGGCCACACAGCAGGAGGTGAGCGGTGGGCAAGTGAGTGAAACTTCATCTGTATTTACACTTGCTCCCCATCATTTGCATTACCACCTGGGCCCTGCCTCCTGGCAGATCAGCGTTGGCATTGGATTCATATAGGAGCACAAACTCTATTGTGAACTCTGCATGCTAGGAATCTAGGTTGTGCTCTCCTCATGAGAATCTAATGCCCGATGATCTGTCACTGTCTTCCATTACCCCCAGATGGGACTGTCTAGTTGCAGGAAAACAAGCTCAGGGCTCCCACTGATTCTACATTATGGTGAGTTGTATAATTATTTCATTACTTATTACAATGTAATAGTAACAGAAATAAAGTGCACAATATATGTAATACATTTGAATCACCCTGAAACCATCCCCACCCCACCATCTGTGGAAGAAGTGCCTTCCATAAAACCAGTCCCTGGTACCAAAAAGGTTAGGGACTGCTGAGCTAGACCAAGGGCTGGCATTGAGAACTCTTAAGAACATAATGTGCTTCTCTGATTCCCACCAGTGAATGACACAGGAGGACATCAGGATAAGAAAGGCAGACAGTTCCTAGTTAGCCTGGAGAGAACTGGCATGAACCTCCTGCCATAGCCACATCATGCAAGGCACTATGTCTAATCACCCTCAGCTTATACATTTTCCTCCAATGAAAATGACTGTCCTGGCTCAACAGACCCTTGTTTTAGAAACACCTGCATCAAGGTCAGAATTGTATTGGATCAGTTACAACTTTTTTCACAAGGGTCATTATGGGGAGTCATCCCAGCTAAACTCACATTCTTATAGGCCATTCCAGCTCATTGTTTGCTACATGGCCTCTCCCTTGTCTCCAAAGGAAGCCCCATGACAGGTTCTCTGCCCACTATACCACTGCTTACTGTTAATGCTTTCTCAAAACAACTGAGCACCCGGGCAGGGAAATCCAGAAGCTCAGGCCCCCAGAGCTAAGTATAATTCCAGAAATGGAAACACCCCATCTATTGGATTCTCTCCCTGCTTTTGAGAAAAGCTTCCTCAGGCTCTGAGGGAAGGGAAGCTTCGATTATATCTGCAGCATTCCTTCTGAAAACCAGCTGCCTTTACCCTTTCTGATTTCTACTTTTCTCACCTGCACATGTGGCAAAGTCACATGAAAGTAAACCCCTGATGGAGGCTTCAACCACCCTAAGTAACTCTGCTCTCAACGGGTGCTATACTCCTCTGCCACCACTAAAACCAGGGAATATCAGAGCTGGAAGGAACTCTGGGGATCACTTAGTCCAGACCTTCATTTAACACATGAGAAAACTGGAACTCGAAGAAGTAAAGAGACTTGTTGAAGATCACACCACTAATAAATGGCAGGGCCCAGATTCAACTCGGGGTCTCTGACTTCCCCATTCCTCTGCAGCTAAAACCTGGGCTCTGTTGCAAATAAGAGAATTCTGTTATTCCCCTTTGATTTTTATCTTTTCTCCACAAATCCTGATCCCCATTTCACTAAACTACTGGTATTCATTTCCTAAAATGGGAAGGAAAGTGAGAAAAGAAAGAACAGACCTCTGGCTTCACAAGTTCTAAGAACTCCAGGTGAAATTCATAGACATTGTCTCCTTTGGCACCATGTCCTTGAGCTATACAGAAAGACAAACATGGGTTATTGCAAGCTAGAGCAGAGCAAAACCATCCAAAAACCAGCTTGGTGTAGTTCTTTCCTAAGTATGCAAATATTACACTTGAGTGTAGCCAAAAGGCTAAGAAGCAATGTGGTTTGCAAATGTCAATGGGTCCTGTTAAAATGTGTGGGGGCTTGTGAGCAGAGCTCCTCAACAGCCAGATAGGCCAAATCTTTGACAAAACTTTAACTCCATATGTTCTCTGATGCCAGTTTCGGAGTATTTACCCAATCTTTCAGCGTGAGCCCGACGATACCCCATACAAATAACAGGCAGGAAAAAGAATAGAGAAAGCAATGCCAAAGGGGCCACACAGATATAAATTTAACTTTCACAATTACTTTGGCTCAAAATCTAGAGCAGAGAAAAACTGGTGGGTGTATCATCTTGACTGTGGTTAAGGAAAGTTGCAGGGTACATGGAAATGCTGGATTGTCTCAGACAGCTCTGAATCTAAAACCTCCCAACCAGGGGGAAAGAATGAAGGGAGAAGCTGACTCCTCCTTTAGCACATCCCAAATGGAACAAGGAAAAAGAAATACAATCTTTGTCAGCTTATGAAGGACAGGTGGAACCAGGAGAGAAGTACAAGTTGGCCAGTGCCCCAACCCTATGCCTTGACATGGCTCCTTTCCCCAGTTCAAGCTGGTACCATGCCTAGGTGCCAGTGACTGCTGGACCTCCCTTCCACACTCCCCTCTGATTCACTTACCATATGGTTCCCTTCTGGGACTCTCTTCCCTTTTATGACCATATGTAGTCTAATAACCTGCCTAATATTCACTACAGGTAGCAATTATCCTCTCAATAAATTCCTTAAGGTAGGACAGTACGTAAGGTCTAAGTGGCAAGATATGCTTTTATCACTTTAAATTTCATGTAAATGTATGTAAGTCCCGAAAAACCGGAGCTGAGTAGTGACTACTCTCATCTTGAAAAGCAGATACAAAAGCCAGGCTGTACTTTCATGCAAGTATATTACAGTAGATAGAATTTCACATAAAGCAGAAACTCTTCATGGTCCAATAATCCCAGGAACTGGAACAGAGAGACAGCAGAGCGAATCCTACCCCACTGGGTGACAGTGAATGCAGACCCCACCCTCTCCAGTAAAGTAGTAAATCTGCTGATGGACTGCGGAGAAGGGAGATGGAGGCAGATTCACAGAATCAGAGACTATCAGAGCTTAAAAGGCCTAAGACATCGTCTAGAGTGTAGTGTTTCTCAAACTGGCCTGCAAGTCTAATATCAGGGAGCCACAAAGTCTCATCAAGAAAATTTCTTAGGAATGGTGAGAAGGGATGTAATAAATAATTATTATTTTTAAAAATGTTTTTAAAGAAAAATTAAAAAAAAAAAAAAAAAGGCTGGGCACAGTGGTTCATGCCTGTAATCCCAGCACTTTGAGAGGCCAAGACAGGTGGATCACTTGAGGTCAGGAATTCGAGACTAGTCTGGAAAACATGGTGAAACCCCGTCTCTACTAAAAATACAAAAATTTAGCCAGGCATGGTGGCAAGTGCCTGTAATTCCCACTACTCAAGAAGCTGAGGCACGAGGATCACTTGAACCCGGGAAGTGGAGATTGCAGTGAGCCGGGATCACGCCACTGTACTCCAGCCTGGGCAACAGAGCAAGACTCAATCTCAAAATAAATAAATAAAATTTCTATTTTTTTTTGTTTTCATAATAATCTTTAAAAAAAAAAAAGTAGCATATTCTGGATCATCTAGATGGCCACTTCATAATCAAGTACTGCCATGCATTCAGTGGCTGTATGTGTGTCTGTGTTGACAGCGGCAGTGGAGCCAAATATCACTTAATAGTGACCATATTTAATTTTTCACGGATCTATGAGCCCTTTAGAGTCCTGTGGAAACATTCTCAGGTGTCCACTGGTCCTCGAGTTTGAGAAACACAGATGAAAATCCAACATCTTCATTGTATAGGTCCACAGAGTCAATAACTCGTCCAAGAAGTGGCAGAATTAGAGCTAGAAGACAGGTCTCCTGATTTCTACCGAGGCCCAGGATTCCTTTTTTTTTTTTTTCTTCACCATATCTATGCCTCTCCATGGGAGAAACAGGATTTTAAACCAATGATTTGGCTTTTCTAATCATATATCTCAAAACAATTTAGCTTACCTCATGAGTATCAGAGGAATGAATATCAACAAAAAAAAAAATGAATGAAACAAATAGATTTTTTTCTTAAAAGGGAAACCACCACCACACCTCTTTAACTGTGTATAGAGATGGAAGCATTTGCTGGGATACTGACCTTTGAAATGCAGCACATTTTCAGTGATGCTGATGGCAGGGTTCTGTGAAAAGAGACCAAGAATGCAAGAAGGCATTTTAATGAAGAGGAAAAGAGATTAAACCAGGGGCTTCTTCCCCTCATCCATCTCCCATGAGGAGTCAACCTCCTACTCTGTGCCTCCCCCAGAAATATATTTAGTCATTTATTCACATCTGTGTAGGCTTCCTCTATGTCTGTCTGTACCTATCTAAGATTGCAGACTCCTGCAAGAAGGACCCTACCCTGCTCTAACTGTCCAAACAATCAACTGCTGAATCTGTCCATTCTGAAAATGGCCAATCATGCAAGGTGCTATGTGAGATATGACAGGGGAATACACAGATCTCCAGTGGGACAGATGAGGCACTTTTTGTGAGAAGATATCAAATAGTTATCAAAAAACGTATGGTCAAGATTGAAAGGGTGGTTAAAGGAAGTTAAGTGTTAGCAGAGTTAAGAGAGACAGCACAATGGGAATAGAGTGTTGGGGAAAAGCTCCACCAAAGGTGAGACCTGTCCTGCAACCTCAACGATAAATTAATTCCAACAGGTAGAGGGATGGGCAGAGGATTGCAGGTGGTGAATGAAAATGAAACACACAGCTGTGCCTGGGGTTCTAACTGAGCTCAGGCTCCAGACTCTCTTAATCCACAAAGGAAACAAGACTCAGAAGAGGTCAAAATTCTCCAACTGCTCATTGATTCCCAGAAGTTGCTACATACCTTCAATTTGGCAGCATAAAGTGAAACTACTTAACACTTTTTTCAGTGGATGAGAAAACAACCCACCTCCCACTTTCAGCTCACTGTTAATAAGCAAGAGGCAGCTCTTCTCAGTGTCACAGTGTTTGTTTTTCTTCTCCTGCAGGCTTAGCTTTCTGGGCTCCTCAACTATAGCAGTCATCTGACCACAACCTCATGAGATTCCAAGCCAGAACAACCTAACAGAGCCCCCTCCTGAAGTCCTAACCCACAGAAACTGTGAGAGATAATAAATGATTATTGTTGCTTGAAGCATTTGTTATGCTGCAACAGATAACAATATTATTAACTGCAATTACTTCTTTAAATGCTTGGTAGAACTTCCAGGTGAAGCCAGTAAGACTTACAAATTTCCCTGTGGGAAGATTTCTGACTATTTAATGGTGACTGGGCTATCCTTTTCTATCTCTTTTATAGAAACTATCTTTATTTCTTGAAATTTGTCCATTTTATCTGATATGAACTTGTTTAATTCTTCCTTTTTAAAAAAAAAAGTCATCCACGCTGGAGTGCAGTGGCTCAGTTTTGGTTCACTGCAACCTCCACCTTCCGGGTTCAAGCAATTCTCCTGATTCAGCCTCTCGAGTAGCTGGGATTACAGGCGTGCGCCACCATGCCTAGCTAATTTTTATATTTTTAGTAGACACAGGGTTTTGTCATGTTGGCCAGACTGGTCTCCAACTCCTTACCTCGGGTGATCCACCCACCTCAGCCTCCCAAATTGCTGTGATTACAGGCATGAGCCACCGTGCTGGGCCCCCAATTTCATTTCTATCTTGTTAACATTTCGATGTTTTTAAGGCATTTTTATTCGACACTTTTAGTTTTTTTTTTGTTTTTTTTTTTTTTTGAGATGGAGTTTCACTGTTGTTACCCAGGCTGGAGTGCAATGGCGCGATCTCGGCTCACCGCAACCTCCGCCTCCTGGGTTCAGGCAATTCTCCTGTCTCAGTCTCCTGAGTAGCTGGGATTACAGGCACACGCCACCATGCCCAGCTAATTTTTTGTATTTTTCGTAGAGACGGGGTTTCACCATGTTGACCAGGATGGTCTCGATCTCTTGACCTCGTGATCCACCTGCCTCGGCCTCCCAAAGTGCTGGGATTACAGGCTTGAGCCACCGCGCCCGGCCCACTTTTAGTTATTTTTAACAGAAAGCTCGATGTACACAACCTAGCCCATCTCTTACTAGAAAAGGAACTGTGCCTTTGCTTATGAAAAGAGGAGTGAATAGCCAGACATGGTGCCATGCACCTATAGTTCCAGCTACTCGGGAGGCTGAAGTGGAAGGATCACTTGAACCCAGGGGTTTGAATGCAGCTAGGGGAACATAGCGAGTAGCCAGACCCTGTCTCTAATTCTCTTAAAAAATAAAAAGAGAAAGAGAGTGGCTCGGCAAGGTGGCTCATTCCTATGATCCCAACACTTCAGGAAGCCTAAACAGGAAGATCGCTTGAGCCTAGGAGTTCAAGATCAGCCTCTGCAACATGGACCCCGTCCCTACGAAAATTTAAAAAAAAAAAAATTAGCCAGGTGTAGTGGTTCATGCCTGTGGTACCAACTACTTGGGAGGCTAAGCTGGGAGGATCACTTGGGCTCAGGAGGTCAAAGCTGCAGTGAGCTATTATTGCATCACTGCATTCCAGCCTGGGTGACAGAGTAAGTCCCTATCTCAAAAAAAGAAGTCAAAAAGGAAAAGAGAATAGGAAAACTTTCAAATCCATAGCAACTGTCATCTCTTTTTTTTTTTTTTTTTTTGGAGATAGAATCTCCCTTGGTCACCCAGGCTGGAGTGCAGTGGTGCAATCTCAGCTCACTGCATCCTCTACCTCCCAGGCTCAAGGATTGTTCCACTTCACTCTCTCAAGTAGCTGGGACTATAGGTCCACATCACCATGCCTGGCTAATATAGTTTTTAAATTTTTTGTAGCGACAGTCTCCTTATGTTGCCCAGGCTGGTTCCGAACTCCTGGGCTCAAGCAATCCTCTATCTCAGCCTACGAAACTGCTGGGATTACTGGCATGAGCCACTGTGCCAAGCCATTATTTAAAAAATAACAATAAAAACACTTATATCACAGGTCTGTTATAAGGATTAAATTATCATAGCATACACAGAGCCTGGCAACTAGTAAGAATTCATATTTCAATTGCTTTTCTTCCTCTGACTAAAGTGTCCATCAAAATTTCCATGCCTGTTGAATACTACTTCTCCTTCAAAGTTCAGGTCAAATGTTAATTCCTCTTCCCTCCTTCTCACCCCTAACATCAGAATCAACAGCTTCCTTCCTACTTTGTATTCACCTTTACTATAATACTTAATCACACTGTTCCATAATCATTGGGATTGTTTAACTGCCCCTCTTGACCTGAGTTCTTTAAAGGCAGGGACTGGGTCTTATTCATCGCTATATACCTAATGCCTCAGTAACTATTTAGTGAACTAAAATCAATTCATCTCATCTTCAGAATCTCTGGGGAACTACAGAGAGTTCACAATAAACTATCTACTATCTAACCCTTTAGACAAGAGTTTCCTTTCTCATTCAAATCATTAGTATTTATCTTTGCATTTACGTCAGAATGTGTACAGAAGAGTTAATATAGCAGGCCTGAGGCTGCAGTCTTTAAAAGGACCTGCTTCCAAGATCAGCCTTTGGCTGGCATCTAGAAACTTGGCTTTCCTTCATCCCCTAATAAGGGTGGTTCAATGTACCTAAACTGTGCCTACAAACAATGTCATTTATGGTGAATATCAACTTTCCTTCTAGGAGTCTGGAATTTTGGTACATGCTAGGCAGAGGTTACCTAAATAACAAGTCCCCAGTAAAAATAATGGGTATTCAATCACTAATGGGCTTCCCTGGGCAGAAATGTTACACATAAGTCATTGCATTTTTCGTTGCTGGTGGAGCATGCTCAAGTATACCCCCTCACGGGAGGAACAGTGATAAAGAGGCTTATATGTGAATTTCTCCAGACTCCACTTGTGCTTTTTTAACACTGATCCTGTCCTGTATTCTTCAACTGTAACAAACCTTAGTCATAAGTACAATTATATACTAAGTCCCATGAATGAATCCTTCTAGCAAATCACTGAGCACACTGGTGGGTGCTGGGAACCCCCAAAACGGTGTGTATTTTTATGTGATCCTTTTTACCCCAATGTTTTATTTTGAAAACTTTTAAATCTACAAAAAAAAAATGGAAAAAGCCAGGTGCAGTGGCTCATGGCTATAATCCTAACACTATGGGAGGCCGACGCAGGCAGATCATAAGGTCAGGAGATTGAGACCATCCTGGCTAACACAGTGAAACACTGACTCTACTAAAAATACAAAAAATTAGCTGGGTGTAGTGGCACACGCCTGTAGTCTCAGTCCTGGGGAGGCTGAGGCAGAAGAATTGCTTGAACTCGGGAGGCGGAGGTTGCAGTGAGCGAAGATCACGCCACTGCATTCCAGACAGTGACAGAGCGAGACTCCATCTCAAAAAAAAAAAAAAATTTTTTTTTGAAAAAAAATGGGCCAGTCGTGGTGGCTCACACCTGCAATCCCAGCACTTTGGAAGGCCAAAGCAGGCAGATCACTTGACACCAGGAGTTTGGGGCCAGCCTGAACTCCAGCCTGGGCAACAGAGCAAGACCCTGTCTCAAGTAAAAAAGAAAAAAAAAATAGTATAATGAAAACGCACATGCCTTTTACCAACTGATTGCTAAATGTCATATTTGGTTTTTTTTAGGGTAGGGATAGCCTCCATTCTACAAAATACAATGAAAGCTCCCCAACATTTGCTTTTTATATGTACCCTTTTTTTGTGAATTATTTCAAAATGAGCTGCAGACATCATACTTCACCTCCAAATATTTCCTCTCCTAAGAAATTATATTATCTTGCATAATTACTGATGTTTTCTAATACCTAAGAACAATAACTCCATTTTCTCTAATAAGAAATCCACATAGGGCCGGGCACGGTGGCTCAAGCCTGTAATCCCAGCACTTTGGGAGGCCGAGGCGGGTGGATCACAAGGTCGAGAGATCGAGACCATCCTGGTCAACATGGTGAAACCCCGTCTCTACTAAAGATACAAAAAATTAGCTGGGCATGGTGGCACGTGCCTGTAATCCCAGCTACTCAGGAGGCTGAGGTAGGAGAATTGCTTGAACCCAGGAGGCGGAGGTTGCGGTGAGCCGAGATCGTGCCATTGCACTCCAGCCTGGGTAACAAGGGCGAAACTCCGTCTCAAAAAAAAAAAAAAA